GGAAAATGATGGAAACCATGAATGCCTGCAATAAGAAAGAAATGGAATCCATGAGACAGATTCTAACAGATATTAGGAGATCAAAAATTCCACTGAAAGTATATACAGCAGAATGAGCAATGTGAATGCACAATATCAGATATAAACAACAGGATTGCAGTTCGTGATCATGAAAAGAAGCATTTTTTAAAATTAACAAGGGACCACAAAAAAAATCAATCAACAGCTGTTAGATGATGCAAAGAAGAATAACATCAAATTGATTAAAGTCAATGAAAAAGCAGGACATAACACAAATGACATAAAAACCTGTTCACAGAAGTAATGGAAGAAAACTTTCCAAGCATGAAAAAGGATCTGACATACAGGTAAGTGAACCATCTAGAACTCTAATTAATCATGATCCAAAATATCCACCCAAGGTATATAATACTCAAAATTCCAGAAATTCAATACAAGAACAGAATGTTACAGGAAAGAAACAAATCACCTATTAAAAGAAAGGCCAGTAGAACTACAGAAGACTTCTCAGCACAAACTCTTAAGGAGAGCTTGGAGTGAAATATTTTCAAGCCCCAAATGAAAACAATCTCCAGCCCAGATTGATGTATGCCACAAAACTATCTTTCAAAACTGATGAATAAATAAGACATTTCCATGACAAAGAACACCTAAAGAAATTCATGCCCCACCAACCAGCACTCCAAAATGTTCTGAAGGACATTTTAGAAAGAGGTAACAAGGATTACAACTCCATGAACCACAACAGAATGAGTCTACCAGGCAAAGAAGTAACTAAACAGGGAAAAAGGGAGGCAACAACAGGAAAACAAAGTGACAAGGGTAAGTCAATACATATCATTTGTAATCATCAGTGTATGGTCTCAATTCCGCAATCAAAAGAAATAGGGAGAATGGATCTTAAGAAGCAAGATCTAACAATATGCTGCACACAAGAAACACATTTAATTCAAAAAGAAATTCATAGACTAGAAGTCAAAGGATGGAACAAAATATTCCATGCCACAGGAACCCAGAAAAAAAATCAGGGGTAGCTATTCTATTTGCAGATAATATAGATTCCAAACCAAGACTGAATAAGAGACAAAGTTACTACATACTTGTTAAGGGAACAATCCAAGAGGAAGCAATAACAACCATAAATATGTATGTACCAAATACCAGTAAAACAGATAATAATGAAAATGCAAAATCAAATAAGTACTAATACAATTATAATGGGGAGTTCAATACCCCACTGTTACAAATAGATCAACTAGACAAAAAGTCAACAAGCAAATATTATAAATGAACCAAACTTTTGAACAAATGAACTTAGTAGATGACTACAGAATGTTTCACCCCTTAACATCAGAATACACATTCTTCTCAGCTGTACACAGGATGCTCTCCAAAACAGATCATGTGCTAGCTCATAGAACATGCTTAAGTAAGCTGAAAGGATCTGAAACTATCCCATACATATTAGCAGACCATAGTAAAATGAAATTGGAAATCTACAGTAAAAGAAACCACAGGAACTTCATAAACACATGGGAACTAAATAAAACCTTCCTAACCAATGAAATTACACAGATGACATTAAAGAAGAAATCACATAGTTTTTACAGTTAAGCGAAAATATCAGTATACACCGCAACTTATAAAATGCAACAAAAGCAGTACTTTGAGGGAAATTTATAGCAGTTAATTTCCATATCAGAAAAACAGAATGAATTCAAATGAACAACCTAACATTGAAATTCAAGCTTCTAGAAAAAGTACAAGTCAAGCGCAAAACTCAAAGAGGAAATTATAAAGATCAGGGTAGAATTAATGAAATTGAGACTAAGAAAGCGATACAAAGAATAAATGAATAGAAGTTGGTTCTTCAGAAGATTAAATAAAATTGACAAAACTTTAGTCAATCTTATAAAAGAAATTCATGCAATTAGGAATGAAAAGGGTGAAATCATAACAGATCCTGCAGAAGTTCAAAAGACTGTCAATACCTACTTTGAGAAACTGCATTTCAATAAATGGAAAACACACAGAAATGGACAGGTTTCTACACACATATGAATTACCAAAGCTGAATCAAGAAGATATAAAAATTCTAAATAAACCAGTGTAAGTCAATGAAATTAAAGATGTAATTAAAAATCAACCAACAAAGAAAAGCCCAGGTTCTATGAGAAGTTTAGAGCAGACCTCATGTCAATACTTCTCAAACTCTTTAATGAAACTGACAAGAAAGGCATACTTTCAAATTCATTCCTAGAAGCAAGCATTATCGTTATACCAAAACCAGAGAATCTAAAAAAAAAAAAAACCAAACAGAACTACTGGCCAGTCTCCCTACGTAACACAGATGCAAATATCCTCGATAAGATACCAGCAAACAAAATGCAGCAAATCATTAAGAGTGGGATTCATCCCAGGGATACAGGAATGGTTCAATATATGCAAATCAATGTAATATACCATATTAATAAGAGCCAAGGACAAAAACCATATGATCGTGTCAATAGGGGTAGAAAAAGCATTTGACAAAGCTCAACACCCATTCATGATAAATACTCTACAGAAAATTGGAATACATGGTCTTTATCTCAATCTGATAAATGCCATCTATAACAGAGTAATAGCCAACATCATACTAAATGATCAAAAACTAAAAGTTGTTACCCTAAAAGGATGTCTATCACCACTCCTGTTCATTAACAGTTCTGGAAACACTGTCCAGAAAAATTAGGCAAGAGAAAAAAAAAAAATAAAAGGAACAAGGATAGGTAAGCAAGAACGTAAATTATCATTATTCGTATTTGGTACTGCACAGAGAAGAGCTCAAAAAGTCTACCAAAACATCCTAGATTTAATAACCAAATTCAGTAACATAGCTGGATAAAAAGCCAGCACTCAAAAATCAACAGCATTCCTGTACACAAATTATAAACTCACTATGAGAGACATTAGAGAGGCAGCACCTTTCCCTGTAGCATCAAAACATGAAATATTTAGCAATCTAACAAAGGAAGTTAAGGACCTTTACATTGAAAACTATTGAAGATGATATCAGAAAGTGGAAAGATATCCCTTGTTCTTGGGTAGGAGGAACCAATATAGTGAAAATGGCCATGTATTCAAAATTGTTATACAGATGTAATGCAATCCTGATCAAAACTCTAACAGCATCTTTCACAGAATTAGAAAAAATAATCCTAGAATTCATTTGGATCCAGAAGAGACCTAGAATAGCAAAAGCAATTCTGGGCAACAAAGGCAAGGTAAGGGGCATCACAATCCTTGACTTGAAATTGAAATACAAAGCTACTGTGATAAAAAAAGCATGGTACTGGCAAAAAATAGACCAAAGAATCAATGGAACTCATTAGAAGATGCAGGAACAACTCCAAACACACTCATCAATCTTATCTTTAACAAGGGAGACAAACATGTTCACTGGAAGAAAGATAGCCTCTTAATGAAGGGGCGCTTGAGGGGCTAGGGATTTGGCTTAGTGGCTCAAGTGCTTACCTGGTAAGTGTGAGGTCATGAGTTCGATCTCCAGGACCAAAAAACAAAACAAAACAACACTTCACCTGGTAAATGGGTGCTGAAAAAACTGGGTTTCCATATGCTGAAGATTAGAACTAGATCCATATCTTTCATCACATACTAAATTAGAATCTAATAGATGAAAATCTAAATGTTAAAACAGAAACACTATGTCTCCTAGAAGACAGTATAGGAAGAACTCTTCAAGACACTGGTGTAGGCAAAGGCTTTATGAACAAAATCTCAACTGCACAGAACTATCACAAAGAATCGACAACTAGGATCTCATTAAAGACCCATCTTGTCTTGCACAGCAAGATAAACCACCAGCAGAGTGACAAGACAACTCAATGTAGGAAAAACTTGCCAACTGTTTCTCAGTCAAAGAACTAATATCTAGAATATATAGAGAACTCAAAAAATTAAAAGACCTAGTACAAAACTGGGCATCTGAAATGAATAGACACATCTCTGAAGTAAAAATGGCAAATAAATTTATAAAAAAATGTTCAACATTACTGGTCATCCAAGAAATGCAAGTTAAAACAATGCTGAGATTCTATCTTACTCCAGAAAGAATGGCTATTGTCAAGAAATTAACCAATAACAAATGCTGGTGGGGCTGTTCCTCTGTGCATGTGTGGTACCTGCTAACCACTCACCGCTGGCCCGGACAGCCCGAGAGTGTAACTGTGCCCTGGGGCAGTGCACCAGCGAGCTCTGGTTAACCCTGGAGCTGAGCAAGATATGAGGACTTTGTGTTTTCTGCTGCTGCCAAGCGGGAGAGAATTGGGGACTTACGGGTCCCAGAGCCAACTGGGAGGGCTGAGGATATAGAGCTAAGTACCTGGAGGTCAACTAGAAGGCATGAATTCGAATTCTCAGTCTTTCATGACCTTGGGTAAGCCACTCATTCCCTTTGCACCTTAACCATTGTTTCTTGAAAAGAATTAAAGGAAATAAATCAAAGTTTGAGCTCAAATCCCAAAACTACTGTGTGGTTTGCACCAAATGCGGTTCAAGTGTATTCTGCAAACTGAGACCAAGACATGGAGGGGAGGGGAGGGGAGGGGGGGGAGGGGAGGGGAGGGAAGGGAATAAAAGGTATTAAGATATGTTCTGTGCAGGTACCATCACCCCATGACAAATGCATTCATTGTGGACTGCACCTATCTACTAATAAAAGTGAAAACTAAAAAGAAAAAAACGGTAAGTACTTCACACAACTCTGGCATCAAATGCCTCATCCATATCTCATGCACTTACTATTTGGAGGCTTCCAAGTGTGATTTCATTTATTCCTCGCAGCTGCCTGTTCCAATCCCCCAGTGTTAGACTGATGACACACAGGGGAAAGGAGGCCACCTGTTCCCAGCCAGATGCCCACAGGAGGTGGGCTTGTCTCTTCCACACTGAGCAAACCAAAGGGGTGCACCACTCACCTGGAGTCCTTCTCTGACAGCTTCCAGGAGATAGGGGATGATGGAGTAGTTCCACAAGTCGGTGAACCACACTCGTGAGCCATCCACATCGATGGGGCATGATAGGAAGAGCCGGGGGCCTGGGGACCACAGGAAAAAGCGGTCAGAGCCCAGAAGGGTGTGACCAGCCTGACCAGCACTCACAGGAGGGTCCCTGCATTTTCTGCGCACTGGCAGGACCCATGGAGGAAGCTGCTGGAGGAGATCCTGAGGGCACTGATGCCCTCGCTCCCAAGAGGGAAAAGGATTCATGCAGAAGATGCGCTCTGCAGTATTAGTAACCCTGATTTTAAGAATGGACACACACTTTGTGTCCAGAGGCAAACAAGGAACACTTATATTTGATGGACTGTTCAGCTTTTAAAAAATAACTTTTTAAAACTAGGCCCCATGAGGGAATGCTCAAGAGACAAGGAGAAGAGGAAGAAAAGGACACAGGGGATGCTCGGGTGACTGCGATGACAGGAAGTAGAGGCATGTGTTTGAGGCCACAGAAGGAGGTGTACGCTGAAAAGATGTCAGGATGGGTGCGGGATCAATGATCGAGCTCTTCTAAACTCCTACCCCTCAGAAATGCTGTTTGAACTTTCTTTCTAAGCAAGGCCAGTACCAGGATTGTTTTGGACTGGGTGGGCGTTAGGCTTGGGGCTCAGCTCTGAACCAGCAGTCTCTGTGTCATCCTGGGCAGAGCAGGGCTCCTCTGCTCATCTCTGAGATCTCAGGTCCATCTCGACCTGCAATTGTCCTCCTTCCCCCGGGGACAGAGCAGTGACCCTATGACAAGCTGTCCTAGCCAGGGCTCCAGGAGCGTCACAGTCAATCTGCAGCCTCCCTTCTTCCCACCCCAGCCTCCCACCTACCAATGGTGACGTCAGAGGAGCTGTGAGCCTCCAGGAAGCGGTTGAGGTGATGCCAGACCTTGGGAATCCAGTCGATAATCTTGACCAGCTCTGCGTTGCGCACCCGCCCGCTGATCTCCGTCTCCATCAGCTTCCTCCTCAGGAACCGGCCCAGGAAACCCTTCACAGGCTCCGTGTGGTTGGCACAGAGCACCCACCTGGGGAGGTCCAGGACGAAAGGACTGCTTTTTAACAGTGACAGTGGGCTAGACAACAGCTGCCCTCAACAAACAGACTGTCTATGCTAACACCAAAGCAGGGCTCCCTGTGCGCCTCTGCCCTAAGCATCACACACGCACCAGCTCACAGCTCCTCCCAGCACCTTACAACACAGACAGCACTACCCTCATCCCACAGATACAGAGTTCCGAGGCACTGAAGAACTGTGCGGCTGGGGTCACACAGCTGGGAAACAGAAGAGCTTACATCAGAACCATGCCAGACCCTGGCTGAAGTCTGAGCTCTAACCACTGAGAGTCACTGCCTCTTGTCCCTATAGCAAGCCCTGTGCTGGGCTGTAGAATTCTAAGGGCGACTTTGACACAACCTCCAGCTTTCCTGAGCTCGTTCTTGGTTTAGTGGAGGGGCAGATAGAGAAATGAGACAGGACTAAAAGCCCCAGGTAATCAGGAGAAGCTGTCTCAGCTGTTTAGGGAAAGGGAGGCAAGGAAGGGTGCAGAGGTTGGTAGCACGCTGCAGCCCTTGTAGCCATGTGGGAAAGGTTGTGGGTTGTTTGGGCTCAGGGAGACCAGGGCTCTGCCCTGCCCACTTTAGGAGGTTTCAGGTGCAGGCAGTGGTAGCCACTGAAGGAATTCCAGCCCGAGGCTCAGTCATCACATGAGAACCTACAGTGCCCAGTTTAGCCTGCAGGGGGCAGAGCCACAACGGGACATCCTATTCTGACACTTCTCTGTCCTGACAATGATTGTAGGTGGGTGACAGTGTGCTAGGAGAGGACCATCACCACCCTTGCAGGGGAGGGATGAGTGTGGGTGACAGTTGGCAAAAAGCGTGGACAAGCCCTGGGTGACTGTGGAACCTTGAGCTCAGCTGCCTAGACCAGCTGACAGTTTTCAGATAGCAACAATGCTGGCCACTTCAGGGGTCCCAGCCTAGAAGCTGAATTCTCAACCTCATCTATAGGATCAGGCAAGGGAGCTGAGTTACTGGGGTGCAGAGCAGGGCACAGGTGCTGAGAGAGGGTGCACAGGGATTCAGAGACATTCATAAGAAAGAGCCGCCACTGCTCACGCTCATGTGGGACAGAGATGGATCACTGCAAATGTGTGGGGACAGCAAGACACCTAGGGACCCCCAAGGCAGCCTCTGTGACACTGCTCTGGCCACACCTGGAGCTTTAGCACTGCCTGGCTGCATGAGCTTACACCAGTCACTGAATTCCCTGGATGGGGCAACACCTACCTGAAGTTATGATGAAGCTGCAGGTTGGGGGTAGAAGAGGTAGCCTGGTTCATTGTGCCAATGATGTAAGGGCTGTGGGGGACACAGGGTGAGAAGGGTGGGAGTCAGAGGCCACCTGGAGAACAAGGCAGTCACTGCAGCAGCCAACATCTATGTGTCTGGGCAGATGGACCCAAGGCCACCCCTCCCCATTCAGCCCCTGTGTATCACTGCATTACTATGCTGGCCCAGGCCACCTGTATGCTCGGCTACCTCTGGGACAGTCACACGCTTCTCTGGGGGCCCTGAGTTCTGCAAGTGGCCATTACCATTTGTGGTACTTGCAGTTGAGCAGCCCGTTGAAGATCTCGCCCAGGGAGCTGACATGATGCAGGTTGTCCAGGATGATGACAAGGGGCATGTCTACCGAGTCGTTCTCGCTGTTGCACTGGTCGGCAAGGTTGGACAGATACTGGCGCAGTTCCTACGGAGGCCGGAAGGGCCAGGGACAACAAGTGGGTGAGTGGATTCCCAGGGGACACACATGCTCAGGGTGTTCACACACCTTCATTTAAAGTGCTGTGCATAGGGCACAACCTGCACACCCGCCTGCTATAGGGCAGTGGCTTGGTGCTCAGGGGAGGCTGGGCAGGCAGGGTATGAGGCCCACATCTGCACAGGTAAGGACATGAGTCAGATCTAGTACTAACTAGATAACAGCTGCACAGGTATATTTTAAAATCCCTATTGTGACACTTCTCTAGTAATGTAACTGCTTGATATTTCTTATTATACCAATCTGCCTAGTGATGGGTGCCTCCTCCATCTCTGTATCCTCACCCTGCTTGGGACCTGGTGACACTACAGCCCTGGACAGCTCAGTGCAAAGGCCCCAGCACCCATGGGTGATGCTGGCAAGTGCTGGCAAACATGCAATGCCCACAGAGCGAGATGAGTGGACAAGCCCTGGACCTTGTGAGGCCCAGGTGAAGGGCAGGCAGGCCATGGCTCAGCCAGTACTGGAATGTAGTCCAGTAAGCCTGGGATCTAGGATGCACCAAGAGAGATGCAGAGAGGAGGGAGAGAGGTGGTACAGTGGGGAAATAGGCCAGAGGTGAAGTTATGGCCACGCCGGAAAAGTTAGAGTAGCCTCAGCCAGCACCATGTGGAGCACAGACCGATGTGACCTTCTGTGGTGTGCTAACCCTGTGAGGCAGGTCCATGGTACACATGGAGAAACTGAGGAATACTAGTCAGGCAATGGGCCTGGCACTGCACTGAGGGTCAGGACAGCTTGGAGTCAGGCTCAGGCGCCTGACCTGATGCCTCTTTACCACACCAGCGGCCCCAGACCTGCTCTCACTGCTCAGGCGTAAGTGTCTCCTCTGTCTCCTATAAGCCTACACTCAGCCCAGGAATCGTTTTTAATTAAAATGGGTTTTTTGTGAGTAACAAGGAAAGCTCAACTTCTCTGTCTTTTTGCCTCTGTGAGCTGCAGGTTCTTGGCTCCAGGCACCTACAAGCACAAGGACTCCAGCCCATGGAGCCCTCGCTCCCTCCCATACACAGGCCAGTGCGGTGCAGCTGGGAGGGTGCCCTGCCCAGCAGAATGGAGGGGACTGAAATCCAACCTGGGCAACATGTTGGCTACACACCTGGGTCTCCCCTCCCCGACTTATACAAAGGCTCTCTGCCCTAAGAGCGCTTCTCTCTGTCCTGCCCTTACCCCCAAACCATGTGGGGAGTCTACAAACCAGGCAGGGACCCGGCCCCATAAAACCCATGGAAATGAATCACCTGGGAGTGAGGTGGAGGACTCTCCAAGCACACTGGGCAGTTTGCAAGGCAGGGGACCCCAACCTAGCTGCCTGTGACTCTCTGGTGCCTCTGCACAAAGCCAGCCAGAATGAGGGGTGTGCACTCACAACAGACAGGGCCCAGAGGATACTTCACAGCCCTGGGCTGGGGCAGGGTCAAACACCATCCACCCTGGTGTCTGCCGCTCGATGGAGAACAGGACATAGCCTGTCTGCTGAGCACAGGGCTCTGGAGTCCAACAACTAAACCCAAGTTCAGTTCAGTATGGCTGCGCAATCTCGGGCACCAGTCCACCTCCAGCCTCTGTCTCCTCCTTTGTAAAACAGGGACAGTGACAACTGCTCGCTTGAAGGGACCACTGGGAGAAGGTCAGTGCGCTGCCCACAGTGGGAGGATGTGAGCTACTGACTATTGCTGTGACCGGTGCCAAGTGACCGTTGCACCATGAAGGGTGTTACTCTCCTACGTCAGGATGGAGGGACTGGCGTGTGGCAGGCTCAGAGTAACCCTCTCACCTTGCTGGATTTGTGGTCCACATTGAAGGTGGCGATGATCCCATCTGTCAACTCCCGGCCCTCTCGAAGCACCACATACTCTGACAGCCGGTTGGCCAGGTAGGTTTTGCCGGTGCCACTGGGGCCAGATAGGATGATCCGCCGGTGCTCCACCAGCAGCGACACATAGCGCTGCAGGATGGGCTTGGGGATCAAGGACTCGAACACCAGCGCGTCCAGGCTGTTCTCTGCGAGCCCTGTATGTGACAGAGACAGGAAGTGTCTGAAGCCCAGTAGAAAGCGTGGCTCTGTACTCATCTAACTAAGACTGCTGAGGCCAAGGTGACTCTTAGAGTGTACTCACCTAAGTGGCTGCTCCTGCAAGTACCCTGGAGGGTGCCAACACAAGGCCACCACTCCAGGAAGCCACTGCCCTGTGCACCAGTGCCTCGTGCTCCTGGCCCATCTTGGTGACTTTCTCAGCTTTCAAGTCTCCTTTCATAGCACTGCCTCATCTCCTGTTCGATTCACCCACGAGGTAACCCTGGTCCCCACACTTAGGTGTACTCCAAAGGCAACCTCATTTCCATCTTGACAATGAGGAACAAGACAAGATGTGAAAGGGTCGCTTGATCTTAGAATGTGAATGCTGCAAATCTAGGTAGAGATGTTACATATGGAGAACTCTGATCCTCAGCATCAAGGGGGAACTTATTCTTCCCCTGTGCTGCCTGGAGTAAAGGTTAGCTGTCCAGAAACAAGGTAATTCTGTTTAAAAATTCCCTTCTAGGACTTCAATTGTTTTTTTTTTTTTTTTTTTTTTTGTCTTTTTCCTTTTTACTGGTACCGGGGATCGAACTCATGACTGCCTGCTTGCAAGGCAGGCACTTATGCCGCTGAGCTAAATCCCCAGCCCCTCAATTGTTTTATAATAGCATCTTCCTTATCCAAAATTACTCACTGCAAGCAAATGTCTGCTAACACACTTTTGTGCTTGTGCCTAATCCTCCCCCAGCCAAGAGTAACATATGTAGCATTGACTGCTCTGTACTGTCCATGAGGAACGTCTCCAAATGCCTTATCTGCTGAGGACAGGCTGAAGATCTTCCTATGCCTGAGCTCATTCTAGTCTCTATTGGTTCAAAATGTGATGCACAGTGTGTAATGTGGGGTTTGGAGTCTAATAATAATCACAGGGGCAAATTATTCTGTCTTTCGCCCTAATACCCCAGGGAGTGGTGATCTTGGAGATGAGACTTTGTCCCTCCGTATGGTTCCACTAAAGTGAATTCCTACAGCTCAAACCCTTGAGGAGTTCTGAGTGCTCTAAAAGCCTAAATTTCCAGTATCACAGGAAAATACAAGAATCAGGTGTCTGTGAAGTATAACCCTGAGCTAATCCCTCCAGATGCTAAAACTTGATGTGCTGACAGCCAGCAACCAAGGACCAGGCTCCAGGGAGGGTGACCTGTTCCTCCAGAGGCAAAGAATGATATCACTGTCACTCTTTTATTACCCTCAGGACTTATAATGTCCACCTGGAAGATGGTTAGTTTGAGCCGGCTTCTGTCACATGTAGTTCAAGAGCACAACTGTGGCATCTCACTCTCTAGCAAGCCTGGAAGGGACCTCCACTGCAATGTGCCACTGGTTACCAGCAGGGGAGGATTCTCACTGGTGGGGAATTGGAAAACCTACCAGCCAGCAAATAAAATTTGCATGGAACAACTCCAAAATCACAGTGAAAACTGCAGACAAGAGCCTTCTGAGAAGTAAGAAATGGCATATCTCAAAGACTGGGCCTAGTGTATGCTCACCAGTCTGTAATGCAGGTGGTTTGTCATACGTAGCAATAAATGCATTTCGCAGTCACATGAATGTGTAGCAGATTAGGTTAAACAGGCTTTTTAACAACAGCAGTTAGAACATTAATGGACCAGTGTTTTTAAAGCCCTGGCCCCAAATCCAAATGAGGATAATGATGCTGTTTCTTGCACTCATGTGACTGTGAAGTACTTTTCTCTGATACAGGACTTTCAAACCCAGAGTTCCATGGGCCACACTCTGGACTGGGGCTTCAGATCTCTGGTGGGGAGGCAGCAGAAGCTAGGGAAGCGCCTCGCATGGGCAACAGCTCTGCTGTTTAGTTAGGCTGCCCCGAGTGGCAGCTCGTAGCCTGCAATACACTGTAGTTTCCTCCTACAGGATGGGGTTGCATCTAGCTTGCTGGCAAGAGGCCTAGGCTAATGGGACCTTCTGATGTATAACTTCAGCAGTAAAATTTTTTGTTTCCTATGGGATTTAAAACAGCTCAAAGCTTTGACTAGCTTAGGTAATAGTTAATTCTGGTGGAGGGGGAAAAGAAAATAAACAACCCACATACATATGCACAAACAAAACCAGAACCACAATTTCCCATGCTAAGTTGAAAAACTCCTACACAATACCCGAAAGCCCCACCCTCAGCCATCAGAGGCACCACACCTTTGACGGTCACGGAGATAGTAGTGTTCTCGCCCACCAGGTAGCCGCAGGGTAGGAGCTCGGGGGTCTCCGAAGCATTGCTTCGCTTGATTTCCCCGATGCTGTAGCCCAGAACGCTGTCCGAATTGAGGCCTAGCTGGCTTACCGGGTCCACATGAATGATGTACTCCTGGAGGGAATCACACGGAGGCATCGTGACACAAGGCTGCCCACACCTCATGCTGCCATGCTGCCACTGAGCGATTTACAATCACATCCCTGATCTCTATGGGGATCATGCCTGGGTACCCATCCCAGACCTCTTAAAACTCGGTTAGGGGTAAGGGGGAAGAAATAATAAACTCCTAATGAGATTTTTGCGGACGTTTAGTCTGGAGGAGCCAAGCATGGCAAGTGAGGCTGCCTTTCCCAAGTTCAGCCAGTTTTCAGGGGCTCAGGGTCTGAGGGTGGGGCTGGGGAACACCTTGAAATGTAATTCTGACAGGAAATCTCTTTGCCAGTCCCTTCAGAGCAAATGACCACCCTGATAACCTAGAGCAAAACTCAGGGCTGCCAGTAAAAAGCAGCCGTGCCACTTTTAAAGGGAAAAGACACACTGTATTCCAAAGTGTTTCTTGCACACGACTGAAAGGCTTCGAATATGAACAGAGGTGCAAATGGCCACACTGTGGCTGAGGTGAGTCCCAGGAATAGGACAGAAGGGTCTAATTCCTCACCTACCAGTGATACCTCAGAAGCTGAGGCTGTTGTTGTTTCTGTCTGTCTGTCTCTCTCCTTTGTAGTACTAGGGAACAAGCCCAAGAGTGCTCTACCACTCAGTTATATCCCAGTCTTTTTTTTATTTTGAGACTTCATTTTGCTAAATTGTCCAAGCTGCCCTCTAACTTGACATCCTCCTGTCTTGGCATCCTGAGTAGCTAGGATGACAGGCACGCATTAGTATAACTGTGTAGTCTTTCTAATCCATGACAGACTTCAAGGCAAGGCTAAGGCTTTGACAGAGGTAGCAGACTTGGTCTGTTCTAAGCCATCCACATCCCTTGCCTGGTCATACTTCAACAGACCTGCTGGCCAACATGTAGAACAGTCTTTGCTCAAAGAACAGAATTTCCTCCCTGCAAAGCCACTCTTCACTACAAAGTCAGTGGTGAACTAATGAGGTCATGTTTTAAAGTCTAACTGCACTAGATACTCGGTCTAATTGTAGATCCATGGCCTTAGGATCTACAGTCCTAAAGATGCGTCCTTTCCTCATCTTTAAATGGGAAAATAAAGGGTTCAGCAAAAAAAGGGCTGTTGCTCTTCAGGTGATAGGGTAAATAAATGCCCATGGCTACTGACTTACTTTAGGACAACAGAGAAAAAGACAGGCCCACTGCATCCTGAGGATTCAGTTAAAGACCTGAGCATTGTCAAACCCCGGCAGTGACCCTTTCCTCCTCTGCCCTACTCTCCTGACCCTCAGGAGGACATGAGCTTTCTCAGGTCCTACAGCACCAAGGCTGGCCTGGTCTGCTTCCTGCTAGGCTCATATATGTACCCACCTTCACACTCCAGTGACCTGGAGCTCCTGTGTAACAATGTAACCTACATATATGAATATTTAAATGTCATTGTCAATAATTTGATAGTCTTTGTGGCCACTCAGAAAAGAAAAAGAGAACACAGAGAGAGAAAGAGAGAGAGAGAGAGAGAGAGACAAAGGGAGGGAGAGAGAGAGAGAGAGACAAAGGGAGGGAGAGAGAGGCCCAAAAGCTTCTTCCAAATCACTTTTCATTGCAAGGTTCACCTCTTTTTTTTTTTTTGTACCAGGGATCGAACTTATGACCTGCACTTGCCAGGCAGGCGCTTATGGCACTGAGCTAAATCTCCAGTCCCAAGGTTCACCGTGGTACTTAGTTATTGCCCCTGTGGCAGGTGCCCAATGCAATGATGCTACTGACAAGAACAGAAAAATAACTGCCAGTGTCCTTGACAGTGGACGTTGATGGGACATTACTGTCATCTGTAGCACAAACCAGAATCTCCAAAGGAGTGGCACAGGATTCTGGACACACTGGAATATGCTACCCCTGTCCCAAATGAAGCACAGAAATGTGCTGGCTCAGCTCTGGCCACAAGTAACAGACCCCAAAGCAAATTTAAAGGATACAATTATAGGGTGAAAAGAGAACTGGGACATGTGCAGTTCATGTGACAGGATGAAATTGCTGGCCAAGCGACACTCACCAGCTGGTCAACCACTGCCAAGAGCAGATGGCAAAGTCTGACCAATCACCAACCGGTATTTCCGTAAGTCTGGCCAATCACCAGCCTGTATTTCCACAAGTCTGGCCAATCACCAGTCTGTACTTCCCATCCTCTGGATTCAGCAGCACAAGGACACGAAGGAAGGGGCAGGACAGATACTTGGCCAAGTTCAGGCCACAAGCCACCCTCTCCCTCCCTGGCCCAGGCCCTTCGCCACAGTGTTCTCCTCAGACACTTACTTTGAACAGCCGTCTAACCACCCCATCGAGCACATCCCACTTGGTCTTGCCACTAACGCCAATGCAGCCAATAAGAAAGACGTGAGGTCTGGAGTCCTAAGGGTAAGGAAAGGCACGCAGGTGAAAACCAGCAGGTCTCTGACACAGAGGACATAGATGCCTTAGACTTCTGCCAGTGCTTGAGAGGGCAGTGAAAGCTCAATACCAGGCATAGCTAAATAGAATGAAACAGCCTGAAAACCTTTCCCTGCTCTTCTGCTAAAACTGCAATGGGCCAGGAAAGTGAAAATATTTTGTTGGGAATCTGGAACTTCTGTTAAGTGCGTATCTTGCACAGCGCATAGATCACACATCCGTCACCTGAGATCCTCTCTGATCTCTGCCAAACTGACTTATGCACTCACCTCTTCCAGGAAGTCTTCGGGGATTAAACCACCTGGCTTAGAGCTTAAGCTGCCTCAAGAGTTCTGGACACTACTCATAGAGGATGGTATATTCTGCATGCGCTTCTGTTTACTTTTAGAAATTTGTCTTTTTTTGTATTATATGTCAAGTTGGTGTCCTTGCTAGATTTAGAACATCATGTGTTTTTATTTTCATTTTATCTGTACTTTTCTCTTTTTTGGGGGAGTTTAAGTGACATTTATTATTTTCTTATTAAAAGTTAGAACATGTTCAACTCAGAAAACGAGTAAAGCTCTGGGAAGATTGCCAAAAAATAATCCTTTTCTCTACTTCTTTTGCATCTCTGCCTCCAGGCACTAACTGATCCATCGATCACTGACAGGCAAATAGAACATTCCATTCTGTTGGTGTTTTTAGTATCTCCCATGCTAGTAAGGGCAAGGTTAGGAACAGGATGGGGTAGGTGGAGAGGAGGAGGAATAGGCAGTTAAGCCAAATCAGCAAAGACAAGAACACCAGTTGTGCAGCAAGGTGACCTGACCTCACATTTGCTTTTTGGCCTCCAATAAGTGGTACTTAGGTCTTGAAGTTTTGCAGCTGCAAAATGAAGCTAGTATCACCTGGTCAGCCAAGCTCTCCTGGATGCTGTTGTGATCCAGAAGGACGTAACTCCTGAAGCTGTTGGAAACTTTGGAAAAACACAACCTCTATGTGTTTGTATTGATGATCCCTAGAATCGATGCCATCCCAGGTATCACCTGCATTTACTGTAAGAACGTTACAGGAATGGAATTTTCCAGGACAGCCTGCCACTCTTCTAGGCAGGATTCTGAGACTGGAGCCAGGTGGTGTCTCTTTTTAGACTGGATGACACTACAGCCCCACATTCTGGACTTCTCCCTTCAGTGAAGCTGACAAGCTAGCCACATGGGGCAAATCACGGCAGAGAAAAATCTGGGTGCAGACACTATGGGTTCTTTAGCTGGTGGAAACTATACTAGCATATTGCCTAGAAATGCTAAGAAACAAAAAAACCAAATTGAAGGGGACTTGAAATCATGACCTATGAGGGTATTTCCCACTTACTTATTAAGCCAAGGTCACTGAGAGCATCTTTGGGACTTAATCTCTGACTAAGATTCAACTCTTGCTCCACCCCTAAAGCCTCTGGCTGTGGCATCCACTCTGGAGCTCAGCACAGTCAGGTTCCAGCCTGGGGAACTTGAGGTGCCCCACCAGCTCCACTCAGCCCCCAACGTGACCTTGGGAGTTGTGGGCCTCTCTCTGCGGTCACTTTGTTGACAGCCTGGTGCTGTTGGCCAGCTGGGATCAGTCAGCTCATTTCTGTGTCTTACAAGCTAAATGTACTTAAACTGCCTTAGAAGTGCTTGGGGAATATATTAAACTCAGAAAAGCCATCTTGAGGGATGTTAGTGTCTGGTTAATTACAGGAAAGTACAACATGTTTTTAGTGTGCTTTGTTAAGACGTTCAATAAGAGAAAAAAAAGGAAATGCTGCCCGTTCACATCAACTGTCAAAGGGCTGCCAGGATGTCGGTTACAGTAGTCTCCACGTATCCACTGTTTCTCTTTCTGTGTTTTAGTGAGCCATGGTCAACCCAGTGTGGTGTGATAATTGCTTTATATTTTGTTTTTATTTCTTGCTAATCTGCACAGTCAGGCTCCAGGTGTTAAAGTTCTGCATTTATACATTAAATTTTATCACAAACACATACAGGAAAACACGTCATTTATGTAGGGTTGGTACTTTCCTTGGATTGAGGCATCCACTGGGTGTCTGGGAACCTGTCTCAGATGGATAAGTGGGGACGACTGTCTCAGAAAAACATTAGCACTATTTCCACATCACCTCAGGCTCCGAGATGAAATAGTGTCATGGTGAAATCTCTAAGCTAGGTAGTACTACCTGGGGAAGGGTCAGGCAGAGCAGGGAAAGGGATCCAACTAACCTCCTTCCACTTCATTTCCTCCTGAAAGCTGACAACTATCTTAACATGCCTGCCTCCTTCCTTCCGAGCCGAGCATTCACCAGTGTCATCCAGCAACATGTCTGCGAATGGAAAACATCAACAGCCTTAGGCACATGGGGACAGCAAAGCCGGCTTCCTGACACCCCCGCTGCCTGGGGGCCCAGCAGCGGGACAAACCAGGTGTCGGGGGGGCAGGGGAGGGGCAGGAGAGAGGGCAGAATGGAGGATGATCACAAAAAAAAGACCACAGTAGACCAACCAAGGAGCCAGCAGGCTGACGATGTGTCTTGCCGAATGGATGTGTGTGGGACTCAACCAAAACAATACAGCAGCAGCATCATGGATAAAAAAACAAAAGCATCAGCCTCGATATGCTCACAAAGGAAATCCAGGTCATGGTCACTGATGATGGAATCTGTCCTGAAGCCAGGAAGGTCATGGGCCAAGCCATTGCCGATGGGGGGTGGGGAGCTGCTCCCATGGGGTGTATGCAGCATTCTGCTAGCAGGTCAGCCTCTTAAAATGGATCAAACAGAACTCAGCGTGGTGGGTGAGGGGCTCCAAGCTCACAGCTTGGAGAAGTGGGGCCACTGGAGCAAAGCATGAGAGCGCTCTCACGGCTGGGCTCATGTTGGTAGCAGATGCACACCCAGACACACACACATGCCAGCGCACACACGCCTGCTGCCTCTGTGTCATCTGCTCATCTGCTTCTTCAGGGCTCCAACCCCAAGACCAGAGTGCCAGCTGCAGGGCCCCGCCTGCCCCAGCCCTGCGAGCCACTCACCCAGGCTGGTGGACTCGGTGAGGTTCAGGCTGTGCTGGGAGAGGCCCGGCGACTGCCGGGGTGACGTGGAGATGGACACCTGGGAGGGTGCCCGGCTGCAGCCGCTGCCCTGAGACTCTGACTTCAGCCGGTCGTTCTCAGCTTTCAGCTTCTCTATTTCACTCTGCAAAGAGTAGAGGCGGACACTCACATGAATATAATAGGGAAGAGGAGTATCTGAAATTCACTGCAGGAACCACAGGGCTCACCCAGCCAAGGCAAGCAACATGCACAGAGAGATTCTGCTTTTGCTGTACACAGATAAGCATGGGGGGCCAGGCTTCATCTTCCAGAGAACTTTGAACAGCAGCTGTGACAAGCTTGGCTTTCCCAGAATCTGCTGCTTTCTTATCTAAGAGTTTGTGAAATTGGATTTGCTAGTTTTCTTTAATGCAGGACTTGTCAGAGCCTTTCATGAGCTATTCTGCTTTGTTAATCTCACAGGACATCCATTTCCCAAATTCATCTAATGAAAGAGCTGTCCTTTCACAGATCCTTGCATGGATAGTATTCCAGGGATCCACCTTTGGGAAATGCTGCATTCCAGCTAGCATACCCCACTGCAGTCCTTCATTTTGGGAATGTTTACAAAGAACTCAGTGTGTGCAAAGCAGGTGCAATGTCCAGAGAGAAGGCAAAACATATCTCAGAAACCCGGATGTTTCTCTATGCCAGATGAGGGAAAGTCTGTAAGAACAAATCTACAGTCATATTCAAGGGAGGAAGTAATTTCCAGCTGCAGGATCTGCAGAGGCTTCACACAGGCTGGGCTTTGGGGAAGGGTCCAACACAGAAGTGCCCAAGGTGGAAGCAGAGAAGGGGAGGGCAGGGTGGATTAGGAACAAAAAGGACCCTGCAGAAAGCTTCACAGCCAGTGAAGGGGATGCTTTAGGCAGGAGGGGCAGGATTGCTCTTATACTATCACTAGACTGGTCAGAGGACTGTGCAGACATAATTGAAAGAGAAAGAGGCTGAGAAAGCAGAGGTTGCTCCAGATTCTAATGTAGCCCTGGGGTCTGGCAGAAGTCAGCTGCCTGAGGCTCCTTCCTGGAAGACTTTGGGCTCCACTCCCTGTCCCGAGCTCTCACCTGCATCCTATTCATGGCCTCCCGGAGCTGGTCCAGCTGGTGGGCAGAGCTGAGGGCTTCCAGGCGGATGTCTGTCAGCTTCATCTCCTTGTCTCTCAGCTCATTTCGGAGCTGCATGACCGTCTCAGCTTCACTATCCATGCACTCTGAGATTCTAGGGAGAGGGAACATTAGTGATCCAGTGCATCTCCTTTGAGTCCCCTCCTGACCAGTGGTCCACTCTTTCTTTGCAGATGTGGCAATCGGAATGGCTGTCATGTGCCTTTCTGTAAATTCCGATAATTGAGGGATAAGCAAGAGATGGCACATGGGAATAGCAATCTTCAGGGTTTGAACGCCTCCTGACTGTGTACACAGCTGGGCCCCTATCATGACACCACGCGGCCTTTGAGGTCTAAACTCAAAGAATCAAGATCAACTCTGATTTCAAGATCAGAAACTCCAAGGTTAAACAGTTTGGGGATAATTTGTACTGACCCCAAAAGGAAAGAAACCTAAAGGTATGGGAAAGAGTTTATCTGCTTCTTATCTCAGGGGACCTGCTTCCTCTAACTCACAGCAAAAAGAGCAACCCTGTCAGGGCTTAGAAAGCAGAGGGGACAAGGTGACATGGAAGCCAAAGTTTCATCTGCAATCCCTGTAACGGCGTGACTGCTTGTCTTTTGTCTGCAGTTGTGCACAGGATCGAGGTGACCGTGGGACCCTGCCAAGTGGCTCCTTTCTTGATGAGTTCGGGTTCTTTCTAGATGCCTGGCAGGTCAATGCAAAATGGAAGACCCCAAAAGTCACAATGAAATGCAATATCCAAAAAAGGTAGTTCCTCTGTTAAAACATGATACATCACTAAGGCAAATTTTTCTGGCCCTGTGGACAGTAGGCTGCCAACTGAAGATGTGTTTATAGTACATCAACATGTCAAAATAGGTTGTATTTACTCTACATGTAATGCGAAGCAATGAAAAGTTTAATTTACAGCAAAAAACCTTCTCGGTCAACTTTATTTTTTTAAAAAAGAGTTTTAAATACTATACAGTCATTACTAGAAACCTGTAGGATTCTGTCTACCCTGTAACTCTCTATGACCTGACAGGAAATACAGGATCTCTTACAAGTATCCAATAAAGTTGTTTTGCTAGAAGAAAAGGTCTCCATTGCTTTTGTGTTCACAGTTGTGACTGCTTTTTAAGACTGTAACTTGTTTTTAGATTACAGTTGCATCTGTGACTTTACCACCAGGTAAAGGCACTCCATCTCCAGCAGGACCCTCTGTGGGCCTCTGTCCCATCTCTGTGCTTTCTGAAGCTTCCTCTAAAATTCCTCCATCTTGTCTCTCTCAGCAAAGGGAAGCAGGTTGACAATTAGGTCACTCCTACCTACTCAGCTGCAGGATTTTATGTTGCTTTATACACAATTATTTCAGGATAGAAGCTAGTTTTTTTTTATTACTTTTTTTCTGCTAGATTCTTCTTTAAACATGTTTTAAAAAAACTGTCCAACTTAAGTTTTTCATAAAATCAAATCTTTCTTAAGGTCAAATTTGTCTCTCACGGGGGCTGGGGATTTAGCTCAGTGGCATAAGCGCCTACCTTGCAAGCAGGCAGTCGTGAGTTCGATCCCTGGTACCGATAAAAAGGAAAAAGACAAAAAAAAAAAATTGTCTCTCACAATAATGATGGTTGCCAAATAATTGAGGTTATTTTAAAATATTTTGTTCATATTCTTGTTTTATAATTAAAATATACATTCAGCGTTTAAAAAAAACCAAGCAGTGCTGTGGACTCAAAATAATCATAGCAACTAGGGTATTGGGTGGCCCAGATTAGAAAGCTTTGACGCTTATTGAACTGGAGACAGGGGTAAAAAAAAAATACCTCAAAACCCACAAACCACAAGTTCATAAAGTTATGGAGCTGAAGCTGAGGATGCCTGAACGCCATGGGACCTTGTGGTCACCACGGCAGGACCTCAGGATTCTGCTCTGTAAGACCTAACTGCTGGATTGAGGGCCAAACTAAACCTGACCTGTAAAACTAGGCAAGCAGTGGACATTTTAATTGTGGAAGGAAAACAATTTATAAAACTATTAAAAGAGACATAATTGTATTTTGGGGGTGGAAAGTCTTAGAAGGAAATTTTAACACTTAAACAGCCAAACTTTTCCAGTGTTATTTATTTAACCTATACCTGATCTGTTTTGACTTAAGAGCAAAGTCATTTCTTGGTTTTAAAAGTTATCAGTGACCAAGGAAGTTTTTAAGCTTCCAAATCTTGAAAAATGCAAGGCACTCCTGGAAATGTTGTTATTCCTATTTCATTCCTATGAGAAATGGAAGCTGATAGATTTAGGACTGAAAGGACTGGAATTTAGACATCAACACACACAGACACACACACACACACACACACACACACACACACACACACACACACACACACACACGGGATCGCCAACCCCAGCTCTTTGTTCTCTGAATAGTCTGCAGTTTGTAAGTTTTATCTACAGAGCTATGTTGTTTTGGACCAAGGAGGTTATAAAAACTAGTTCGTTCCTGAGAGGTCTATGGTTTCCTGGTTTCAGTGGAGTATAAAATCTGAACAAAACTCCACTGTGACACTCCATTCCGAGCCAAGCTGTGGCCTATACAGAAGGGGGAATCCATTCCACAGCACGGGACAGGCTGCTTGGGTCCTTGGGGTGTCAGACTGGCTCCCCGCTGTGCCCCACATCATGCTGCTCTGCTTGAGTTCCTGTCACGTGAGCCATTTCCCCCAAATATTTCCTCAGCACTCATCTGTGGGTTATATCACATGGGTTCCTCTGCAGAGATTGGCCAATCAAAGACTTTCCACAGGTGCGAGGGCCCAGGTATTTGTCCACTTTGAAATTCACAGTAAATGTCCATTCCATCTCCAGAGCTGCAGGAGAAGGCTATCTGGGGTGGGGCCTTCAAGAAGCAATCAGCCTTATATGAGCTCACTGAGACTGAGGCCCAGCGATCAAATTTGCATTTTTATCAAGAAGGAAGAAAGACCAGTGAGAAGGCTCCCTCTGGCTGGTCATGTGATGCCCCCCACCACGCTACCACTCAGAGAAAAGGTCCTCACACCAGAACCACAAGCTAAATAAACTCTTAGTCTTTCTATATGACGGGTCTATAGCTGCTTACTACAACAGAAAATAGTCTAAGACAAAAGGGAAGCAAATTAAAAGGAAGACAACTCGAGTTGGGGTTATAAGAGTTCCAAAATCAGCCACCTAAAAGGGATCCCCAACAGTGCAGTGATGCTATGGAAAATGAGCTCTCTGTAGCAGTCTGAGCTCTTTTCCAGTCCCTACTGTCCAAGACAAAGCATCCCCTTTCCCCTGCCTGGCTCCTTCCCTGTGCAGACCAATGCTCCATTACCAATAGTTCCTGTGCCCATCACAGGTTCCCTCTGCTGGCTCCAAGCTTATTCTTGCACCACTTGCAGTGTCTTTTTTTCCCATAGTAGGTGCTCAGCTAGGCTTGCTGAATGCATGAACAACTCGGCTAGCTATCTGAAGCATACTCTTCTTCCCTTTGGATACTACCAACTCTATCAAAGGTAATTATCTCCATTTTTGACATGGGAAAGTTGAGGCAGAGATAGTAACATGCCCAAGGTCACACTCTTCAAGCATGACAAGGTTGGGATCAAACTTGGAAGGTCCTACTTAGCTCTGGTGCTGTACCTAGTAGGCACTAAATATACACTGCTCTGTGCTGTGGACCACTTACTGAGGCAAGTACGAGTTCCAGGCCCTCTCCTGCGATTCCAGCATGTTCCCACCATCCTGTCCAGGGCCAGGGTTGGTGGCATACCTAATTTCCAACACCTCCAGAGCGGGAAATATCGCCTTCCCGCAGCTGCCATTCCCTTCGCCCATGGGGTGAGGAATTCTCTAAGCCCAACTCCTCTGCCTTTGGTTTCCACTTTGAACTCCCTCTCCCATCTAGATCTGCACATTCTTACAAACCTTTCAAGGGTGGAAAGAAGCATTTGCTCTCAGCCCACCCTTTGGAAAACTTGACCAAAAACAAACATCTCCAGTGTCTACAGAGGCTGTGGAATGTAAGAAACGGGCTTGGGAGCCAAGAGCCCACCCTGCCCTGTCCCTGTGGGAGAAGTGGTTTGGGAGGAGCGCCCTCTCTCAGGGGCCCATCCAGCAGGGAGCATCGCCACCGCTGTCCTCTTATCTGACGTGGCCACCCAGGGTGTGTGGCCAACTGTCTGGTCCCTCCTCCCAGTAGTTCCTTCTCTCTCCTCCTCAGTGTCTTCCCACCTTGCTGGTTACTCTGCTTTCTCTTCTGCAGCCTCTAATATCAGCCTGCCCCAGAGCTCAGTCCTAGCTCCTTTCGTCCTGGGAAGCTGGGAGAACTCCAGTTTCCCAGATTTTGGTACCACCCAGGAGCCCAGGTCACCCCAGCAATGTCTCCCAAAACTCCAGGCTGGCTGGCTCCTACACATGAGCATCTGCTGAGCATCTTGATCCTACTGTGGCCAAGCCAGAGTTTCTGGTTCAGACCGCACTCCCAGTTGGGCCTCCCACCCATCCCAGACACCCAAGATGCAATCTAGGAACATCTAAGATTATTCTTCTCTTTTTCTCATTCTCTACATCTGTTCTACCACCATGTGCCCTAAATTCATCAAGGACTCACCAGTACTGTTATTCATTCACACCACCAAACAGTGCCTGCAAAACCAATGTGATATCCAACTCCACGGTGCTTGTGGGGTTAGGGTAAGAGGGAAACAAAAAACCAAGGAAAGTTCCTATCAGATGGTAATAAGTACAACGGTGAAGAACAAGGCGGTGGGGACGCTGGCAGGGAGTCTAGATTTTGCTTCGTGTTACCTTTATCCAAGGTACACAGACCAGGCCTTCCTAAGGCCACAATGACCTGATGATGTGACTGTCCAGAGGGTCAGTCCACCAGATCAGGGGCAGGCAGAGGGCAATGGCTGTGAGATAGGGGTGGCATGTTCAAGGAACAGCTCCCAGCTGGAGTGGCTTGAGCCCCGGAAGGGACTGGCCAGGCTTGAGCTCTCCCTTCCTTCGCTCTAGCTCCTTACCTTCCTGCCACAGAACACACTTTCAGGTGCTCTCCCCTGCCTGCCCCAGACTGCCTCATGTCTATGCTCTCCACATCAGCTCAGGAGCAAGTTCCCTTTGAGCTCAGAGCCTTGCCCGCTGCGGGCCCAGAGTACCACTGCAGCCTCTCCTCCTACCCTCTGTCACTCAGCCATCTGGTGACAGCCGGGCTGGCCACCCCTTTGTCTCAGACAGACCCATCCAGTTCCCACTCTTGGTTCCCCATGCTGCTGGGGAGGCTAATCTGTGCAACCAAAGCCTCTTTCCTTCTTCACTTCTCCCCCTGCAGATACACGACCCTCAGCCCTGGCCAGTGGGCCGGAAGGAGAGACAGGCTCCCTTCAGACTTGGCCTTTAACCGTCCCTACTACAGATCCTCCCCACCGCCTCCTCTCTCCTGGCCGGAGTAGAAACAGCATCCAGCAGAGGACCCAGGCAGCGCAGGCCATCTGCTGACTAGGAGATCCACACCGGATTTGGAGCAGGCCAGAAATAAACAGTGTTAAGCAAAACCACTGAGTTGGCAATTGAGTTTGTTATGGCAGCTAGAGTTACTGACCAGAACTAAATGGTGGTTCCTGCCTTACAAAGATCTCAGCTGAAATGTCACCTTTGGAGAGGGCCCTTCCTGACCGCAGCATCTCCAAGCACTGCCAAGGACTTTGTATCTCAGCACCATTTTCACACACAGCATTAACCCTCCATGCTACTGAACTTTTGTAGTTTATTTAGGATTCTCCATTTAACATCCACTCCAACCCATGCATATAGCGCCCCCCAAAGATGGAGCGCTATTAGTCCCAGGTGCTGTGGTAACAGGGATAGGAAAGGTGAGTGACCCCGAGTGGAGGCTCAGGGGTGGAGTGAGTAGCACTGTGTCATGTCCCCAGTAGTCCCTGGCTAACACCCTCAGGTTCTGCAGGACACCAGCCCCACGGTGCTCTGCTCCACTGCAACACAGTTCAAATCAATATATCAAGAGAAGATTTTCCTTCTTGTCAGGGAATGAGTGAATCAGGATGCCCTGGTGGGAGGATGGCCTATGTGACAGATCTGACTGTGTTTAACTTGCTGAGCACATAGTCAACCGAGGAGGACCCGTATTCTCCACTTCTCATTCAATCTGTCACCCAAGAAGACACGATGCACTACAGGGACAGACTGGGGTCCAGCTTTCCGAGTTCCTTTTCCTTGCTCCCCTCATGAAGATGTTCTCCCCTCCCATAACAGAAGCACACATCCCCCCAGTTACCCCCTTAGCACAGCGCCCCCTAACAGCACAGGAGCTGACTGATTCCACACAGTGGTAACCCCAGGTGGGTCTCCCTCACTAGGGTGTGGTGGAGACTTTTCCACCCTTCCACTTCCTGTCTTCTGTGAGTTCATGTGTCACAGAGACCTGGCCTCTGGACAGTCTGATCTTCCTTGCATTTCTGGCACCTATCTAGAAGGTCTTTGGCAGAGCTTGGCCACTAGCACAGGCTGCTGCCCTCAGAGCGTTGCTGGGCAAGCAGTAGGGTCAGCTCTATGGGCAGAGCCTCCTGAGAAGGAGGAAGGAAGGGTGACAGAATGAGAAATGGATGTCCCCAGTCATAGCACCTAACCTCCCTCTCTCAAGCACCCAGTGAAGCAGATGCAGTCGCCCCTATGTTAACCAATAAGAAAACTGGGATTTACATCACAGATCCACTCTTTCTGACCCTCTCCCAGTGGCTACTCTAATGCCAGCCTGGCTCCTCTCTTCTCTGGCCAGTAGTTTTCCTTGCAGACCATCGGAGGAGCATGGTCTCAAGTGGAATTCAGCCCCACCAGGTGGAGGCAGCCTTTCTCTCTGCTGCAGGGAACCAGATTGGATACCAGAGTTCCCACCCACCTGCACCAAGCCATTCCTGCCCTTGGCACCAGAGCCAGTGCCTCTCTGACCTCTATGAGGTCTAAAGCATAGTAAGAAACTGGGGGCAGGATGGGTAAAGGCAGACAGCTCTTGCATGTCACTCCTAGCCCAGGGGAGGCACCCAACCACCTGAGTCCCTGGAGAGAGAAGTACAGGCTGCTACCTCATAGAAAGTTCATGAGAATGAATCATTCTACAAAATACACACTACTTTGGCAAAGAGGACTACTACCAAATCTTCAGTTTTGAACCAATTTCTGACATCAAAGACATAAATTTTGAACAAAGAAGAAAGATATGATCTAAGTCTTATCATCCAAGGGAACAGGAATTTCATCAAAAACTGCCAACACTCCTAACACCATCTCCCTCTCATGGCAAAAGGTTCAGACTCTTTTATATCAGGGTATCTTGTTTGGTCCTTAGGATAAGGAGACAATAGTCACGATCACACTTTGACACGGCAAGAAATACAATGTTAGTTACTTCAAAGCCAGCTACTAACCCCAGCCACCAATAACACCATAAGCTAAACCTGGGTTTCCTTTTTCACTCAACTGTCCCATTCCTAAAGCATGGGAAAACCAAGCAAAGTCCCATTAAAGTAGAATATGAAGGATCCTAAGACGTCCACATGTCACAACAGGACTTTTAACAGTGCGCATTCAGAGAGGCTTGGGTGGGGGGTGTGCTACACACACCGTGTGGCAGAGTGACCCCAAAGGACAGACTTACAGAGAGTTGGAGTGAGAATTCCTCAGCAGAGGAGTTGATCCTGTGGACCCGTTGTGTGGTAACTTTGGTGAGGAAGGCAAAGAGGAATCCGTCATCTCCTCGATGTCCGAATGAGAGGATGCCGACTTAGGGGACTTCTTTTTCCCAAAAGCTTGCTTGAAGGAGCTGCGCAACTGAACACACGCACACGCACGAGACCATCAGCCTTTCGGGGGCTGCACTGTGCTTATGCCTTGGCTAACCAGAGACATGCATTCAACAGAGCTATTAAATCTCCCGACTCCCCCCAGCAACAAAACAGGCACCCCCAGCTCTCTGGAATCAGTGCATTAAGGGAAGAGTTATCTGGTGCTGGCAGCTCAGAGGACTGGACCTGTGGGTAACATTCCATGCCTACTCTGGGTTCAAGACTAGATGCCAACAGCAAGACAGAGCCTGGCTTCAGTGGATGGGTGTCGGGAGGATGAGGTTACACAGCAACAAAGCGGGATGCGGCAGACGGGGGTGACAGGTGCCAAGGACGAGGTTAGTCATACCAATGGATGGGTTAGCTTGGTATCTGATAGCAAAGTTGGTCTCGCTTACCTCATTGACCTGCCAGAGAAAATGCAAGCAAAAATGGGGAAGGGGAAGGAAAAAAGACAATTTTTAACAGAGAAAGCCAGTGGGACAGGGAATGCTAGGGACTTTTCAGACGAACATGGCTAATAATAAACACCAGGCACAGAGGAGCTCACCAGGAGGCACTGGAATCTCTACCAGCAAGGGTGCCTTCCTCCAATGCGGGAGAAAGGGGCAGGAAGACCTGGGGTCCTCCCTGTGACCTGGGTCCTCTGCCCTGCTTTGCTGAAATAGCTGCCCCCACCTTCTGTGCTTTCCTCCCTCTCTCTGGCTCTTATCAGGCAGCTCTCGGGGTCTGAGTTTGGAGTAGGAGTAGGGGCTTGCCTTCCTTTCTGAGCAGTGACAGCCTGTACTGTCCCCAAAGCACTGTACAGCCCCTTGCCATCTCTACCAAGGAGTGTCCGCTGTCCTTGGGGAGATAAGATAACACGGCGAGAAGGGAATCACCCATCTTGCTCTTCAAAACATGGGTCGTCATTTAAGATTTTTCTTTTTAACCATATTTGAAAAAAGGAACTGGTATCATTTCCTCAAATCATGACATAGACCTGAAAATTCTAACAAGACCCTAAAGAATTAAATGCAATTCTCTGCCAGGCATGGTGGAGCACACCTGTGATGCCAGCTATTTGGGAGCTTGGGGCAGGAGGATGGGTTAAGTTTTAGGCCGGCCTAGGCAAGTGAGTAAGATTCTACCTTAAAAGAAGACAAAGGAAAAAAAGCAATTCTCTGAAAGCCATGTGCACGTACTTTCCTACAAAAAGATAATATTTTGTCTTGAATAAAGGTCATTTAAAACAAAGTAATTTTCTTTCCCTGAGGTCTATTTCCTCCTGAAAATATATTTTAGGAATTTCTTAGCTGGTAAGAAATTCAGAAAATGTGCCATCTGCCAAATCGCTGCAATTTTTCTTCCATCATTTGGATTTATCTCTAACTGCATGCCCAGCTTGCGAGAAAATCTAGATCCTTCTGCTCTCCCATTTTCTACTGTTGACCACATTTCCAGACAGTAGTCATAGAAACGGAAAGATCTGGCGCACAAACTCAATCCTTGCCCCTGCCTCTGGTCAAAAGCCAGGTGGAAGAGGAGATTATGAAGATCAGGCAGAAGTAAGCTTTGGGAAAAGCTGAGAATGCCAATTATCCACACTCCTCGATTTCACTGATAACCAAGAGGCTGGAAGTAACATAAACAAGTTTTATTGTAGGACTGGAAGAAAAGAGATGATCACAGCTTTTCATAGAAAATAATTTTCTCCTATCACTTCAAAAATCAAATCAGATTGTGCTTATTTACTGCATAGTAGAGATCGAGGCCTGAGTTACTCCTATCTAGCTAGAGCAATTGAGTTGACTAAAAGCTATTAAATTAGAAACTTAAAAAAATCAATCGAGTGATGAGAAGGTCACACTGAGCTGGGCTTTTAGTTCATCTCTCGGGCCAATGTCAATAATCAAAATCACTAAACTCCCAACTCCTCTATCGCTCGACCTTGCCACCCATCCAAGACGGCACAGAATGAGTGACAGGGGAATGGAATGGATGAGGACACTGAAGCCACTATGAGAACACAGCGCTGTCAGCATTGACAAAGGGGGTTCTTTGAGCCCTGGCTGATGTCAGATAACTTGGGGTCCCTACTTTCAAGAGGAAAAGCAGCACAACACAGTGCTCCAAAGCCCAGACAGCGGGGTTAACACCTGGACCGGGGATGGGATTTTCTTAGGACTGTGGGTGGAACTGTTTAAAACTGCCACACAGAAAATCAAGCAGCTCACTGGGATGGAGGATGAGTGGAGAAACACTCCGGCAAAGGTATGATCCCAAGGTTAGCACCATCTCCAGCTCCTCACACTGGCATGATGAAACCCATTTAGAGAACAGGGTTAAAAATAATTTTTCCTGAAAGATGGGTTTGATGCTAGGCCACCATATAAATAAATAAAGATGATGGTGAAGGACAGGATAACTACTGATTCACGCTCAAAAAGTATACATTTGGAACTAAGTAAAAAGAGGCCACTTAAGAGTCGCTGTCCCAGGACTCTGCAGCCAGCACAGAGAAGGAAGAAGTAACACATATGTGACATGAAAGATAAGTCCTTCACATCAAGTCCCATGAAAGACAAGAGCTGCAGGGAGGTGGCTTCACCAATGCTTGTGCTTTGCTGAGCACATTGGTTTTACTAAAATCCTATCCACAGCCGTTTCGGTGGATCTGTTTCCAAAGGTCTGCGGCTGTGAGGTGAGGTAAGGGGCAATGCAGGCTCTATCTGGGGACACCAGCCCTGCAGCAGACTCCGTCACCAGACCCCGGAGAATATGTGCATGGACACTCACCCAGTTCTTCCTCTTCTTTTTCTTCGAGTCACTTTCGATGTTGCTGCCCACGCTAGAGTGGCTGGTGGCGCTGTTGATGCTGGAGACGCTGTCGGAAGAGTGCTGCCTGCGGATGCGGAGGTCTGCAGCCTGTGAGGTGCCGTTTCCTGGGGAGTGAGGCAGGGTGGATCACCACCTGCTGACTTGGGGAACAGTCTTGGACACGGAACCCACACATCTGGGAACCCCTAGCTATTTTCTACTGAGACATCCATCACCTCCTACGTTGCTGGCATCTAGGACTGGAAGCAGGTGGTTGCCATGTCCTATTTGGTCACTTAAATAGCACCTCCCTCTTCCTACTTTGCAAAGCAGAAGCTAAGGGAGGCTTAGGAAACAGTGTCCCTAACTCCAGGCCATTAGGCTGTATCTAGACGTGATTCTAAACGTGATTCTGAATCGTGTAGCCTCCTTGATTTGCTCCTTTTCTTTCCTTTCTGTCTTCTGCAGTGCTGGTGTGCAACCAGGGCTTGGCGCCTGTGCGGCAAGGGCTGAGCGACTGAACCACACCCCCAGGCCTGCTCCTTTACCGTCTTGCTCCTGGCCACACTTGTGTTATACACATAGCCAGCTCACCTCAGTGCAGGGCCTTCCTTATGCTGTTCCCTCTATTTGCAATTCTCTTCCCACTACTCTGCCTGGACAGCTCTTGCTAATCCTGTCTCCATTCCACCTTCACCTTGTTTAGGAGGCCAAGACCTGGAAGGCCAGGCACACTGAAAATAACAGGGGTCCCTGAACTAGTGCTCACGGCGTTTCCCTGCTCAGGATGGGACTGGACCCAGAGCCGTACCCAGAAGAGCACCGGCCTTAGAGCCAGGCAGACTCAGGGACTGGTCCCACTGACTCCTCTCTGACCCCAGGAGGCGACTTGACTGTCCTCCCTGAGGCTCAGAGCTCGCTTGCATCAGTGAAATGTGGAAAGAACTAGGGTGACATATACTAGGCTGTTGTGGAAGGAAAGTGAGATAAACAAATTAAATAACAAAAACACTCAGCACGGTGCTTAGAACAGACTAAGTGTTCTGTGATCGCTAGCTATCAACAGTACTCTCAAGTCTGCTTTTTACTGTTCACACTGTCTGCACAGGAGGTAATGCACCTGCAGGTCCAAGTTATTTTCAACTCCAACTAAACACAAAACAGTTTATTCAGACAAGTTTTCCAGGACAAGTCAGAGTCCTGATGAACCCACTTCAGTTTCTGCCCACATCAGCATGTAAATGTGGAAGCGAGAATGAAGCTAAGGGCTATAACACACTTCAACATTCTCCCAAGGGAAATATACTTTCCTTCTCTTTTGAGACATTACAGATAAGAGCTAGCCATCTTCATGGAGGCTAGAAAGAATCCAATAGAAGGTTCTTGCTTTCTAGGACCTGCTCTACAACTCAGAGGGGATTCCGAGTTTGGCGCTCTGGCAGGGAGGTTGCCTCACATGCTACCAAGGGCATCAGGTGCTCTGGCTGGAGGAGTCTTACTTTACCTTTGCAGTTGAGCTCGGGAGTGTTAATTACTCCGTTAATGGCAGCCTGGGCAGCTGCGTTCTGTTTCTTTAGCAGCTCGATGGTTTTTCTCAATTCATTCAGTTCTGAGTCCTAAGGATGAGAAAGACACCTTGGTCCCTGCAGATCCATCTTGCATTGAGCTGTACCGGACCCCCAGGGAAGGTCAACTTTGCTTGAGTGAAGGAGAGCCAGGAGGAAGAGCTCAACAGGACCTTTGTGTCCTGCATGAAGCTGGACCAAAGTGGTCCTCTAGTAACACACAGGAGTGGAATGGGACCTTGATGCCTTCGCCACCACTCAATCTTTACTCAACAGATATACTGTTGACAATTAAATTCACTACCCCAAGAAGCATGTTGAAATCTGTAATTATCTGAAGTGAAAGAGCATACAATAACACATTGGGTTTGTTATGAGCTCCAAGTGGGGAGCCGAGGCCTTACCTTCTGCTCGGCTGTCATAGTGAGGCTCTGGAGCCTGATGGTCATGTTTCCCAGACTCTGCTCGAAGGCTGCCACGAGGTGGGCCTGGAGGGGGAGCAAGTGCTCGGTTAGGCTAGCCTGCACGGCAAGTGTCTAAGAGACGCTCCCTGGGACCCCTTGATCTGGGCCCTGCCTACTGCTTTGCCCCTTTCTTATAGTCCCCTCCCACCACTCTTTGGGATTCCTTGCTCCTGCTTTGTCTTCTTCCATGCCCTGCAGTCCTTGCGACCTCAGGCCCTTCACCATCCTTTCCTCCTCTGTCTGGAATGCTCTTCCCTCCCGAGATAATTTCTATGCAGCTGTCTAAGGAGCCCTCTATTAAGTCCTTCCTGACACCCTGGGCCTGGGCTGGTTTCCTCTCCCAGGCTCACTATCTCTCTGACATGCTTTGAGAGATTGTAGTTAAAAATACACATGGTCTTGTGATTACAGGTTGATGTCTGTGTTCTCTACGACACTGTGGGATGATCTTTTGTTCAGTAAGCAACAGGCTCATACTAGAGGTTCATTGTAAGCATGTTTATAGAATGAACGAACAAGTGGGTGGCAGATTTTGCTTGTTAGAATCCCAGTTAATAAAAGGCACTGCAAGGCCCATCTGCTACCTCCTTGGAGAAACCTTTCTTGGTTGGGCTGGGGAGATACGAATTCCCTGTAGGCTCCTACCTACTATGTACGTGTCAGTTAGAACACATCAGCGCACCCTGGTTTTCTACAACATTAGGACGTTTACAAAATATGGCCAATTATAATTAAAATAAGCACTCATTTTTCAAAAATGTTACAACATGGGAGAAAAAGCCATGCATCTTAGAATTGAGCAACATGGCATTTTCCTGCCTGCCCCTTTTTCCCAGGGCAAGAGGGAATTTTGTGTCCCAAACCCAGGCTGCTTTCCCAGGATATAGAGTAGTAAGGGTGAGATATTCCTGGTAATATCATTAAGGCCAAGAATAAGCCCAGCCAAGCATGGTGGTGCACACCTGTAGTCTTAGCATTTTGGGAGACTGAGGCAGAAGGACTGCAAGTTTGAGTCCGGCCTGGATAATTCAGTGACTTAATAAGCTCCTGTCTCAAAATAAAAATTAAAAAAGGGCCGAGGTTAAATCCTTAGTACTGGGGGGGGGGGGACCAAAGAAGCAAAACAACACAAATGAAGCAAAAATAAAGAAAGGGTGCTTTTTCAAGGAGTCAGGCTGAGGAATTTCCAGCAATGGAATTAAGAATTCATTAGCTAGCCCTGTTTTTGAAATCCAATATTGTTCTCACTGTTTTGTTTTGTTCCATTTTATTGTTTTGTCTTATTCAGTGTTCTGTTTTGATTGGTTTTATTCTGTTTTGTCAGACTGTATTATAGCTGATGGAGCGGGCAGCAATTTTGAAGACAATAAGAGGCATTATGGTAGCCATTGTTGATTTCTCATCATCCTGTCACTTTCACTGTTTTGTTTTGATTTACTTTATTCCGTTTTATACTCTTTGGTTTTATTCTCTTTAAAATAAAATTAAAAACAAAACAAAACAAAAAGAACCCATTAGCTAGTCAGGCTCATGTGACCTAATTCTAACTCCATCATGGAATAGTGGCTGGTTCTCTAATGACAGACAGCTGGGTGACAGATGCGACAGACCAGCAGACCTCACATCTGATGAGGGTCAGCACCGTTTCCCCCCAGCTATCCTGTGCTCCATGGCTTCTGGTGAAGGCTAAATGTGGGCAGGTCAGTCTGAGAGGCATCTGATGAGAGGCTCAGAAGCTCTACTTACTGGATTTCATCAAGCACGTGTGGTTGAAGCTTACAAACGAACCAGTCTTATGGTTTAGACCCAGTGTCCCCCCAGAACCTCATGTGATCATGGGGATGCTAAGCTGCATGTGCTAAGAGAGCTGTTAGGTGTTGAGGCCTGGTTGGAGGCAGTGGCCCGGAAGGGCGCATTCCCACCCCCGGGTTCATCCCTTCTCTCTGCTTCCCGGTTGCCAGGATTGAGCGGCCCTCCTCTGCCCAGGCCTTTCTGCCATACCATTTCTGCACTGGACTCCATCAACCATCGACTGACATGTGGCCCAAAACAACCCTTCCTCCTTCAGGTCATAGGTGTCGAGTACTATGACCCAGCAATGAGAAAGTGGCAAAGACAGCTAGGATCAGCCACTGCAGATGAAGCAGGACCATTTGTAATAGGAGAGAGGAGCCTTTATATGGCTTTTCCTGGTTGCATTCTAACCATCTACTAAATGTGGAGAAAATGTCTCTGTATTTTAAATAAAGAGACATGCACTGGTTTGCAATGGAAAACATGGTAAAACCAAAGCCACTTAATTCAAGACAATTGCACAGTAAATAAGGGCATGGATCAGTACACAGATGTCCCTCATCCATGCAGAGGAATGAGAGGTCTAACACAAATGAGTGAATTTCTGTGGATTTCAGCTGACTTTGATCACCACCCACGATTCCATCGTGCGTGTTCATGCTTTCTCTTCAGTTAAAAACAAAACCAAAAACCTGACCCCAGGAAAACTGTCCCTCAGAGGGTGTTTTTGCAAGCTCGGAAAGAAACCACACTTGGCTCTACAGAGGATCCCATTCTGCCGGCCAGCAAACGGGCTGCCTTTGTATCCAGAGAGCGATGGTGAATACACAAATGGACAGGCCGTGCTGAGCATGGTTGGGAGCTACACAACAGTCTTCTCATCAAGCGCATTCACCCATTCCCAGGAAAAACAAACACGAGTGGTATGGAAACACCAAGGGAAGGTGGCTTGGAGTAGTTTGTCTTAGAAAAACAAACATGACCTGCTCTGCGAGAAAGACGGCAGACAATAATAAGACATGTGAGGGCTGCCGATGGTGTGTGGTAAGACTAAATATTTACTTTAAAACAATACCAGATTCAGTGGCTTTTATGAGGGCAAAACACTTGGGGACTAATACAAGAGATCTCACTGTGATTCCTCTGGAATAGAAAGGAGAGCTCCAAAGGGCCCAGGGAAGGCTAGCTGTATGGGGAAATTAACCCAAGGGTACTGAGAAGTCAGTTGATTGCTACTTGTTGATTAGTCAAAGGCTGCAGTTGATATCTGATGCTTTTTTTTTTTTTTTGTCTTTTTCGTTTTTATCGGTACCAGGGATTGAACTCATGACTGCCTGCCTGCAAGGCAGCGCTTATGCCGCTGAGCTAAATCCCCAGCCCCTGATACCTGCTGCTCTTAACTAGCAGTCAGTCGAAGGAGGTTAGCAATCCTGGAGGAGGTTACTGTCCAACCTTGTATGTTTGGGTCATACCCAGCAGATCCTCGCTCATTGGGTCTGCTGTTGGTTCTGGGTTCAAATGCACATATTTGATTATCCAGATGAACAACCTAAGCCCCCCTCCAGACTACTTCTGTTTTTTTCATTTTTTTGGTACCAGGGATTGAACTAATCACCTCGCACTTGCCAGGGAGGCACTTGTGCCACTGAGCTAAATCTCCAGCCCCTGTTGTTTTTTAAAATAAGATCTAAGCCTCTGAATTCATTTCTCATTTCCATTTCTGATATGCTGATGGCAGAAGAAATAAAGAAATAAAAGATCACAATACTCAGCAACTTACTATGTTAGGAGTTTAGGAGGGGGGAAAAAAATCAAAGATTTCCAGAAATTCAAGAGAACTAGAAGATAGTTTCCTTGAGTAGTTCAGGTTTAAGCTGAGAGTTACCAGGGCAAAGGCTCCAGTAAATGATTACTTTTAGTGCTGACTCAGCAGCCTAGTCAAAGGAAGACAACCCTTTGAAGTTGCTTTCCATTTTACCCGGCTGCAGGCTCACGCAGGTACCTTCCGGACAGGCTTCGACACATTTGTCCGTGGTCTCACGCTGGGCTGTGAACTCATGGGCAGGATGCCTTGCCTCAGAGGTATCTGGGTGCCTTCTAACATCTCAGGCTCTGCCTTTCTGAGCATCAGCCCTTGCCAGGTCCCAGCTCTATAGCAGAGTTCCTTTTGCGGCCACACTGACAGGGTGGGAGGGCCCTGCCTCTGCTCTGTCCCCTCTGATCTCATTGCTGGCTGGAAACTCACTAGGCAGGGTTCTCCTAATGACTGGCTCTGTGCTTTGCCTTTGTCTTCCTTCATTGCCTTCTTTCTCCCCACCTCCTTCTCGTTTCCACCCCTGCCTCTCCCACCTTCAAGCTGCAGATTCTAATTATAGTCCCAAAGACACCATAAGCTTTCACCTTGGCGTGCGCACGGGTCATTCTCTCTGGCTGGAATGCGGTCCTCCCCGAGCCCCTCTCCTAACAGACATCCATCAGATGTCACCCTCTGGGAAGTCCTGCCTGACCCTCCACAAAGACCAAGATAGGCTCTCCTCCTTATGTTTTCACAGTCTCCTCTCCTTATCTCTGCCACAACCATGTTATAGGGAAATTATTTGTTTTGTCTCCCTGCTGTCTCAGCGGCGAATGCTGAGATAACAGTGGCTGGGCTGGCTGGCTGGTGAACTCATAGAGCCCAGGGCACAGCTGGCACTCCAAATTCTTGTTGAATTGAATGCTGGTTGGCAGTGTCTCTTGAACATGTAATCGTGCATATTATAATTACAAAGCAGTTTGGCTATTCATTCTGGAGCCCTAAATTTCTTTTTTCCTCCCCTTTTTGGGGATTTTGGTTTGCCCTTAAGATCAAAATGTTCACAAAGGGAAAGAGAAAGTAAAGCAATGTTTTGATGAGTACCTAGTATGTTGCCAATACAGATCACATGAGGTGAGGGTGTCACCCTCACCTCACAGATATTAAAGAACACACGCAGGACGTGTGAGGCTGACAAGCCCCAGTGTTCTGGGCTGGGGGCCACCAAGACAGGACCGGAAGTGGGGTGACTGCCTCCAGTGTCTGTGCTTACATTTGCTGTGAGCTGGGTGGTCAGCGCTGAGACCTTCTCCTGCGAAGCATCTAGCTCCCGTCTCAATTTGCGGATCTAAAGGTGACAAAGTACAAGGTTACCCATTGTGGGACCCCATTTCCAGCTTATGCCAGGCAAGGTATGAGACAATAGAGAAAAAAGGAACTCCTACCAGCAAACCGTTCCTTACCTCCGACTGGCACTTTTCTTCTGGCTGTAAATAAAATATAAGGAAAATCAGACGAGTTTAGCAGTAAACAACAGTGCAGTCCAGGCTATGAGGAACATCAAATTTGGAGGGGTAGGGAAATCTAGTTTCTTTTCTAGGGCATTTCTGTGGGTAAACTGGTTCAGTTAAATTGGCCCATTGGAAAGGTCAAATACAACCAGTGCATTATTTTAAGAAACTTAGGACGAGTCAGAACAATGTTTCAACTGTTTGGTTGTGGGGAGCTACCCTGCCTTCCAGTGGAGATGGTAATAAGTTCAAGTGCTCAGGAGAAGGTAAATAACGAGAAGGACACAAGCCAGAGTCAGCACATAAAAATGCACGATGCTAAATTTAAATAGTTGTTAGAATCTAACAATGTCCCATGCAATGTCAGGGACATACTTACGTGAAAGCATCATTGGTTTAGACCTGAACTTCACATTTCTTAGGGTATTTGATAGTTTATCTAGCAAGCCCATCTTCTAAGGGACAAGAAGGACTGCTATTTTATTGATTCTGCTCCATTTTACCCCTCCCTCACACCTCTAAGCCAGTTCAGAAGGAGCTGAGTGGACAGAGAGGTCTCAAAGGGAGGGGACTGGGAACCCCTGTTCGGCCAATCTAGGAACTCTGCAGTTTTCAAGGATAAATGGGACCATCGTTTTCTTGCTGGCCACCTCAAGTCCCCAAATTACCAATGATCTTGGAGATTAAGAGTGAACTCTGTGACAGCTTTAACTGCAAAGCCTTCCACGCTGGTTCTGGGTAAAGGATGACACAGGTATCTCTCTTGTTCCATAGAAGAGCCCACATGTGCTAAGGGAATGTCCTGCAGGAGGAACCTTTCTTCCTCTCTTCTCCTATTCACATGGGGACCCATAAAAAAGCACCCACTCCTTTCCTGCAAATGTTGCAGGTATCCTTGTCCTTCCCCCATCATTCTGCTTTCCGCAGGGGTGGAGGAATGACTTGGGAAGCAAGGAAGGGAGTGAACATCAATAAGGACCCTATTTTGTGCCTGGTCTTTGGAGCAGCCTAGTCTAATTTTATTAGCAATAAATGGATAATTTTTAAAAATCATCATCTGGCTCTAGTGTCTACTCCTATTAGTTCTAAACACAAAGGAGTGTGAGTCATTGGATCCTGTAGACCCACACGACGAGCCAGGGCAGGTGGGCAGCTGCTTGCTGTGTGATCTCCTCGCATCCCATGCTCCCCTTTGAACCCTCTCCTAGTCCTGCTCAAGTGCCCCTGCTCTAACATAGCTCCCTAACAATGATGACTAACTTTTACGTGCATGGGGTCAAATGATTTAGTCTCTGTACTAATTTCATGAAGCAGTTTTGCCTGTGTTCCTCCAGGGCTTTGGAGAGATTAAATACAGCCTTGATCACAAACAAAACTCTGACCTTGTGCTGTTTACTATCTGGTAATAAGAACTAGCATTTACTGAATGTTTTCCATGTGCCAAAGACAGTTCTAAGCACTTTACCTTCATTATATATTTATTCCTTGTAACAGCCCTTTAAGGAGGCACTAATACTATCATTATGGCCTTACTTTCTGGATATGAGGAAGCCCAGAGAGGTTAAGTAATTTGCCCAAGGTTAAGTTTTAGAGCTGGGAGAATCTAAAGTAGTCTGTTCCCACAGCCTCTGACTGTAACTAGCACATTCTCCTTCCCTTTTACTATAAGCTTTCTGAAACTAAGTCCTCTGACATCTGAGTCTGATCTGCAGGAGAATGTTATGAGACTGTCACAGCTCTCCAGCATTTGGGAGGTGTGAGTTCAGCCTGTGAGCAGGCTGAACCGTGCACACAAGGCAACCCCCACACCATCACCATCATCACTTTTTGGTGTGTGGTACTGGAGACTGAGTCCAAGGCCTTCACAGTGAGCTACATCTCCATCCTTTTATGAGACATATCTTGCTAAGTCACCAAGTTGACCAGGCTGGGCTTAACCTTGCAAACCACTTGCCTCAGTCTCCTAGAGTGCTAGGATTATAGGCATGGGCCATTCTTATGGTTTGTGTCTAGATGCTTCCCACATAGATGCAGTCATAGATGGGGATTTTGGGAGGTGGCTAGATCTAGAGTATGTAATGATAACACTGATGTATGGTATAAAATTAAGGACAGTAAGATAAAGGGTATGAGAACACTTTGCTCACACCCACTTCTGGTTCTGGGAAATTTTGTCTTGGCAATGAGAAAAGTAGCCCAGATTCAGGACCCAGCCTACTTTTAAACACTTGTGTGGTCCGTCCTTAGCCCTGTCTGTCCTATCACTGTGCCCACCTGTCTCTGAGGGTGGGTCTCTATTCCCAACAGCAGCCAGCAGAATGAATGCACTCTCTGCCCTAAGCCACCACCGCTCTTCTGAGTACTAGGGGACCCTAAGAGGAGCTGCAGGCCCCGTCCTGTGAGGTGCTCTGTGAGAACTGCAGCACTCTTTTCCAATGAAGAGAGCAGGTCTCAGGCCAGATGCAGCCTCATGAGGCCCTGACCTCCCAGGGCTGGTTGTGACTACACCACAGCATGCGTTCATTCAGCATTCTGCTGCCTCTTCTTTCACTCGTAATTAAAATTGCAGGGGCAACTTTGAGGCAGAATGACCACGCTTAAATATCTAAGAATTACACAGACTTTAAGGAAAGGTGCTACTGTTGTCTAATTAAAGCCTGTAAGACTCTCAGATAGTAAGACTCCCAGTTGCAAGATTTCTTGGTCTGTAACTGTGATGACCCTCTGAGTCTACTCTGGCATGAACATATTCAAATGTCATTGTTTTTATGTCTGCAAAAACAACCTAGATTCTCAGAGAAGCCACCTTCAAGGAAGGTACATGGGTACCTTTGACCCTCAGACTCACAGAAGGGCAGAGGGGTTCCAGGGACCTGACACGATTGCCTTGCTCATTTCTGACACTGAAGACAAACTGAAGACATTCCTTTTGTCTCCAAGGTGACTGATTAGTCCAAAGACAAGGGGACAATAAACTAAGATTAGAGGTTGGGCTCCTCTTACTGCCCAAATAAACTAGGAATTCAACAGTGTTATAATTAGGTTTCTGGTAATGTACTGAGTTAACAACGACTCAGAAAGGACAATGTCAAATGGCACAAAAATAGCATCTTCATGAAACACACCTGGAACAGGAGCTCTCAAAAGGCATACAGGGGGCATGGCGGTTTCTGCCCGGCTGCTCTGTACCTACCCTGAGAAGCTAGAGTGCCACTTCCCCAGGTACCCTCCGATGCCTCTGGCTTCCTCTTTCAGCACTAGGTGGCTTCTTCCCTAACCCATGTCCTCAGGGCTTGGGCCAGAACCTGGCATACGCTGTGTCAGTAAGGACAACGGAAGAAGCTAGTGTAGGTTTGAAAGTACCGTTCGGGGTGGCCAAGCCTCAGAATTTCACTCTAGAGGAAATGATTTACATTTATCCACTAGCTGACAGCTCTGGAAGACCATCATTATGCTTTCTTAGTAGACAGTGGCTTCATAACCCCACCCCAAAATCTCTATCTATCTATGTATCTATCTATAACACCTTTAAGGCCCAGTGATGAAATGTCAGAGGATGATCAGCTGGAGAGAGAGGAATTTTGGAGCTAGAGGAGAGGGCTGGGTAGGAACAGAGTGAGACCTTCTAGTTCCAATCAGACTACGGTCAACAATCACTAAGTCGGCCCACTATAGGCCTACGAAACCACAACCAGCAGCCGCCGGTCTCTTTAACTTAACCCTGGCATAGCCTTTTATTTTGAAGGAGCTACATACATTTAGCACTGCTATACGGTCCATAATCTTAGCATTATCAAAATCTGAATTATTAAAACATTTGTTTTCATGGAATTAGGGGTTAAAGAATTTTTTTCTTGTAGGAATTCTCATATTAATACAAGACAGACAGTGTATAGGGCTACAAAGTGAGTACTACTGAACCAAGTCGGTAGTTCTGAAAATCCTAACTGACTGTATTCAGTATTTGGTTGATAGATCTACCACTGATAACAGCCAGCACTGGGTGCTTACCCCGAGTTGTATTATGTTTATTGCTTATATGCATTTAAAATTTTTTTCTCAAATCTACTTTTTGACCAGCTTTCCTAGATTCCAGGAATAAAAACAAGAGTCCTTTTTCTCTAGGAGCTTATATTATAATGAAATATAATTTTCAGAACATTTAACCCTCATTACAACTCTTATAAGATAGGTTTGCTGTTGTTATTCTACTTTACTAGGAAGAAACTGAGGCAAACATAAAACTGGTCAAGACCTTCCTTGCTCAAGCGTACTGGCAGGTGGCCAAAGCCTGTCACACCTTCTCACCTACTATCACGGAGAAACACTGCCACTTGAAAAAGCGGCCAGTTCCTGACCCATCAGTACATTATGGCTAATATGTGTTTGGGAATTTCAAATCTTGCTCCCTAATTACTGGATTCCTTTATGATGGAGGGTCTCTCTCGAGAAAACTCACTGTCCTCTACATTTGGTATACTGATTTTATTCTGTTTGATAGAAGAATGATCACAGCCACACAGCATTGATTTGTACTCACTGTAGAATAAATGGATGATGTGCTGGAGACCAAGGAGAGCGACGATCCGTGAACTGTCAAAAGAAAAAGAAGAGAGGTGAGTTGCAGAGCTGGCTGCTGTGAAACCAAAAAAGGGACAGAGAAGGAGGAAGTCAGCAGGAGTGACACTGCCCAGCCTGGGATGGGCACCCTCACCATGGCCGCATCCTTCTCAGGTAGGGGAGATCACTGCCAAATCACAGCCAATTTCTGAAAGGAACTCACTTTTCTAGTCCTTCCCCATCGCCCCTCTAATCATCTAAATACACCTTTTTCTCAACTATCAAAATAATATACAATTCTGGAGCAAAAACTTTCAAGCACAAAGGTACTAAGAAGCATATTTATTGCTATAAGCAGGAGTGACTCATAATCCCAATAACCAGAGGCAACGTCTTAGCATTCCTGGATATTTTATTCCACTCTTCTTTTTTTTTTTTTTTGTCTTTTACCTTTTTATTGGTACTGGGGATCGAACTCACGACTGCCTGCTTGCAAGGCAGGTGCTTATGCCGCTGAGCTAAATCCCCAGCCCCGCCACTCTTTCTTCTAATATATTTCTTTAGGGCTGACATTGTGTTGCATACAGATTTTATACCCTGATGACATCTGTCACTTAAAAGATGAGCTGATTATTTTGAACCCAAGAAGCCGCTGGCCAATAGTAAACTCGTGTTTAGACTATGGAACAGAATATTAGTTTTAAGAACCTCTTCCCCGACATTAAGATTTTTCATTTGATTTCTCTTATGTCTACAAAGTGACAAGTAAGAAGAGTTCTATTTCCTAATTCAGGTTGGCACCAGTTGACTTAAAACCATGCTTGTGATGATAAGCACCCCTTCTTTAGGAGACTGTGACTGGTATTCATCTGAAAGCCTAGTCTTGTCTAGGATGAGACACTCTGGCTGTCTTCTTTCTTTCTTTGGGAACCGGGTTCTGTTTAATTGGCAACTTGTTGAAAGACAGAACTGTTCCTGTGTTAACATCACACAGCTTTCCCAAGCATGGCCGGAAAGCCTGCGTCCCTACTATGTGCTATGCTGCCTACAATGGGAGGCCAGCAAAGGGCTTTCCACGGGCACCAGGTGGCATGCCCCCGGCAGCTTGGCAGTGGGCAGGAGACCTGCCAACAGGACATGGATGAGCAGCTCTGCTAATAATCCATGCCTGCCTGTGGTCCCTCAGTAAACTCCCCAATGTTCCTGTCACATCATGAACCCCACATTTCTCTCCAGAGCATAGCCTTGCGTCATCCTTCCCATCTCTGTCTTGGTCCATGTGGTTCTGTTTGGGATGCGTCTAAACACCACCTAGGATCCAAATCAGAAGAGTCTCCAACGTGGGCTCCTACGTGAAGTCTCCAAGTCTCCCCTGAATAATCCCCCGCTGGGCTCCTTCATCCTACCTCCACACAGCTCCTGGCTTGCCATCCTGACCCTCTGCTTGCTTAGCCACTCCCGACCATCCTCACACCAATCCTCCTTAGCAAGGGTCTGAGTTCAAGATCTCCTCTTCCGTCTGGGACTGATCTGACTCAGACTCCATAAAAATCAGAGTAGGGTCTTATTGGCCAGTACTGTCTTTGTGTGTTAGTACACTGCACACATTCATCGAGGCCTCTGAGGTTGGTGGCCTAATGTTCCAAAGCAGGAAGTAACCTGAGCTCATGATTATCTGCGGGTGGAGAGAGCAGAGTTGAGGAGAAACATATAGTCATTCCTCAATCATGTGTGCATGCTGGCACTGCCAGGGGCTGGTTCCAGACATCGCGCAGGACCTGTGGCTGCTGGAAAATGGGAGTGTTTTCTCTTTTTGTATCTCACACACCACAAACTTACTACACGGTTTTAGCAGCAACTCAGTGCCAGCTGGAGCCACAAGCAGAGAGGAGTACATCTGGCAGGGTGAAGGTGGAGGTCATTACTTTTCTCTGCACTTAACTTCTAGCTGGCAAGGCTGTGGTCCAAAGGAACAGACTCCGCCATGTCAAGAGTCAACCTCGAGCTGAATGCAGCTCAGCACAGTCGATGCCCTGGCCCTCACAGGCAGCTGAGCCAAGTCCAAGCCTGCTGTGAGGATAGATACTGCTTGACAATAAAATGTTCCCAAGCTACAGAACGCAAACAGCTTGCTAAAGTGTGTTGTGCAGGTTTTCTCCCTGTACTTGCACCTCTGAAGTTTTATAACTACCAGGAACTATGAGCCTATCAAGAGTGGCCATCTCTGCCACTGAGGAATCGCAGAGAAATAAAGGACTTGCTAGAGTCACACAGCCAGTCAAGAACAAGATATGCAGACCAGAAGTCTGGACACTTTTCTGTCCTTGTCCTCTGCTGCTTCCTGGGAGTTATTTTAAGCCTTTGGGTATGTTTCTGAATGATTTCCTAATCATTTTATGTAATCTTTCAGGCACAAGCCAGGACTGATGTCCAGAAGGAAGATGCTTCAGAAAGGTGTAGAACTGCTAGACAGAATAAAACAACTGGGCATATTTCAGTTAATAGGCAATCAAGCAGCTCTCTCATCATACTCGGGCATCTCACATACAATAGTTTTATACTAATTAAAGCACCGTCTCATAGTACCATTGTTCAGAGTGATCCTCCTCATCATAGAGCATTTGCAGGTTAAAAAAAAAAATCAAACACCCAGTTTCCACCCTTGATTAACAAATGAATGAATGAAGGTCCAGAATGGTCCAGTGATACTGCTAAGCACACAATGGTATCGGGAAGAGACAGAACGTGCACCCAGAGATCTCTCCCTCCCTCTTGTCCCACAGCTAGTATGACAGCTAAGAACCTCGCAACCTCTCCATCAGCAGAGGAAGCATAACGAGGCAGAGAATGCTCTGACAAAATCCCAGAGTTTGCCTGCCTCGAAGAAGTCAAGAAAAATTTTAAGCTAATGGAGATTGAGCAGATTACTCTTTCACTGAGCTACATCCCTACCCTCACCCCCATTTTTACTTTATTTTATTTTACTTTATTTTAAGGCAGGGTCTTACTAAGTTGTCCAGTCTGGCCTCAAATTTGTGATCCTCCTTGTCTCAGTCTCCCAAGTCACTGGGATCACAAGCTCCGCCACTGTTCTCCCAGCTCAAACAATTTTAAAAGCCCAGCTAAACTGAATGTGAAGTTAGGGTTGAGTAGATAAATGAGCATAGGATTGCAAATCAGGAGGCTCAGGACCTCATTGTGTCCTAAATCACTTCTGCCTCAGTCTTGTCATTAAAAAATAAAAGCAGACCACAATAGCTGTTGGAGAGAAGGCTACAAAGGGACAATGACAACAATAGCTACCATTGACTGAGTGCTTACAACAAGCTCCTCTCAAAGCTATTTGCTAAATGCTTTCTAAGATTTATCTCATCTAACTTTCACTTCAATCCCCTGAAGCAGCTACAGTTATTTTCTACTTTTTAGAGAATCAGAGACAGGCTGCAAGACTAAGTCCCCTACCTGATATCACAATGCTAACTGTGAGCAGGTCAGGACCTGAAACGGCTGGAACTCAGAACACAAGTGCACTGCTGGATAGGAAAGGATAGACCTTCCTTGTAACTAAGCGGTTCTACACTTCTGGATTCACACAGGATGGGGTATCCGTGTTTCATATCGCACCAGCTCAGTGCAATGATCTGCAGTTATGGGACTTTTTTCTCCAAAGACCTAGTTTTAAAACAACTCAAGCATCTTCCAAAATTCACACTACTGATGTTGACTTTAAGACTGCATGATGTTAGTGCTGGTGATGCTCGATGCCATGGAAGACAATGGCTGGGAATCCCCTTTGTTTTCCAGGGTGCGGGGATAGCCCATCCAAGGCAGCCTGGCACTTGGAAACCAGCTCTTCGAGGGACCAGGGCAAGGGCGGAGGGGGACCACGCTGTATTTTAAAGCTCTGGGAAGAGCCAAGCCATTGGATTCGCTCTCTTGAAGGAAAGAGTGAAATTGTGCAAGATACTGACACGCAACTTTTCACCCCAAAGGATTTTAACACCCTTTTGAGTAACCCAAGATTTAGATTGTGACTATTTTGCTTAATTCTGGTTGAGACTTGCATAGCAGGTGCTGGGGCCAGAATAGCAGACCCCACAATGACAAAGTTTGTGCCTTAACATTTTAGATCTGGTGTTCTCTTGCTGTAGGTACACTGAAGAGTCTTTTAAAATAAACCTAAAGCAATTTAGAGCTTGTATTTAAAACTTGGTTTGCAACTCCTTGCATGAGAAGCTTTAAGTTTATAGTTAAATGCATTATTCAAGTTTTTAATGTTATAAAGCCAAAAATAAATTTTATTCAGAGTAAAAAAGGAAAAAGACTGCATGATGCATGCATCTGATGGAAACTATGGTACCTGAAATAACACAGACAGTCTGCTGCTGGGCCTCTTGCACCTAATCTACATAGGTATGGTTCTCACTCCCTTCAAAATGGGAAGGGTTAATTGAGTTGCAGCCTGCCACACACTCATTGATTCTTCCTAAGTTTCTGCTTTGCCATTATGGCATCCAGCACACCCCACTGACCACTGTCAAGAGGTTCTATTTGGTCTGAATGTGAGATGTGAACTTTTCCTCAACTATGCCCACAACCCTAGGAATTTGTCAGTTCACTCAGAGGAACTGAAAGTCCTCATTACTCAAGCTCCGTTTGGTTCTTGGGAGTACCTGATACCAAACTTCCCCAAAGGTGAAGCTGTTATGCGTTCACAGTACAGTGACAGCAGTCCTTACGAGAAACCCCAGATTTTGATATTTTACCTCTATGCCTCAGTGCTATGTCACCATGACTCCTTAGGTTCACAAGTCTAGCAAGAGCTTTTCATGGGCCTCATTGTGGCATCCCAGATGCCCCAGGTGAGCTACCTGACAGCTTGATTCCAGATGGAATAAATAAAAACTGTCTGCCGATACCACAACGGTCCTGGAGCTTGATGTGATGGAGCATGCATGTTTGGACAAGTTTCCACACTCAGGCCTTGTGTAGCAGAGAAGAGGAATGTGGCCCAGGACAGCTCCACACACGACTCATTACCAGGCAAGCTAGGGACAATCTGTGGCCATGGCTTACACACGGACTAGAAAGAGGCTGCAGACAAATTGCCTCCTCCCTCACTTTAGGGTCAACGTATTCCCCTAGCTTACTGCTCTAAATGCTTACAGCTTTAAACTTTAGCTCTTGAATCTAGTGAACCTCCCTCCCTGGCTCAGGCTCCTTCGGCTCAATCCTCTGTCCCTGCAGCGTCCCATATATGGACTTACTGGCTTGTGCCTGCCTTCTGATGTCACTGGATGCAAATGATGCATAAATCAGCAGGGAGAGCATGACCTCGCCAGCAAGATTAACCAAGATTAACCAGGAACAACGGCTCTGTAGTGAAACTCTTTTTTTAAAAAGGGACATTAGGCAAAAGCTGTAGCCCGTATCCGTGATTTCTCCCTATTTGACTTTGAACTTACCAAACACTCACAGATATTATTTGTTGCTTCCATCAGGAGGATGCCAGGCATGTTTCCCCACTTTTGTAGGGACGGGGCACAGAGGGAAGTCACCAGGGACAGACATGTCTATCACTGGATACAAGGCACCACACAGCTGCAGCCTCAGCCGCCGCCCCTGCCTCCAGCACCCCCTGGCTGGTGACTCCTGGCTGCCAGGAGGTCTGTCCTGAAGCTCCATCTACAAGCCATGGCACGCAGCAGTGTACCGTGTCAACATCTACCCATATCATCTCATCTAATTCTTATAATTCTGCAAGCTGAACACTGTTATTATTCGCATTTTATCAGCAAAAAGGAAAAAAACAAAACAGAGACTAGGAGAGGTGAAAAAACTTGCCCCTGATCATACACCCAAAGAGTCACGGAGCTGGAATTCAAATACTGCGAGTCTGACTCTGTTCTTAATTCCTAGCCTGCGAGGATGCTTTCAATGTCTTATGAGCCGGTCTTTCAGGGGCCCTGCGAGGATGCTTTCAATGTCTTATGAGCCGCGTCTTTCAGGGGCTGGGGGGTGATGTCTCCCTATACCATTTTGGCCACTTGTTCTAACTTACGCTTCAGCGGAAGGAGCAAAGTTACGACAAAGTGGTCCACAAAACTTTTCTCCTACAATTATAAAACCTAAAAATCCAACTAGAAATGTTCCCACTTGGCAACCAGGGAAGGAAAAAGGCAAAAGTGAGGGCACAGTTGAGCATGATGGTGCAATCCCAGCACTTGGGAGGCTGAGGCAGGAGGACAGCTAGAAGTTCAAGGCTAGCCTGGACTACACAGCAAGACTTTGTCTTCAAACACCAAACCAAACAAATGAACAAACAAGCAAACAAAAAATGGTGCTTGGCAAGACAGGAAATCCTGCAGTAGCTACCCAGCCAACGGGAGGAAAGAAACTCTCCAAACATTCACTGCCGAGTGGGATGCTAGTGGCTAAGCCTCACAAGAAGCCGAGACCCACGTGCTGACAAGTCAGCGAAGGGCCAGCGGAGGAGAGAGACAGGAAGACCCTCAACAGTAGTGTCTCAGGTCAACAAAGACAGTGTAGTTAGAGACCTTTGAGCCACATAACCTAGAGGAAAACGAGTCTCCTTCCTCACCTTCTTCAAACCCATCCCGGAAGGAGCCTGAACGGCTCATGGTTCTGCTCTTCTCGTCCAGTGACATGGAGCTGTTCCGGAAGCGGCTGTCGGTGTACGGATCGTACTGACCATCCGCGTTGGACAGGCTGTGGGTCCGCAGCATGGTTGGGTTGGACAAGCTCATCTGGGTGACAGTGGTGGGACTCGCTGGAATGAAAGGAACAGAATCAATCAGTGGACATACACATCTCTGCTCAAACCCCAGACAGGGACAAAGAGGAGACGACTTGATTACTAGCCATGCGCACTTGTGCCAACTCCTCTCCCTTGTCTATTCACCAAAAGGTAGTCCCATCAGAATGTGAGTTATACACTGAGAGCTAAAAATAAGGGAGGGAAGGCAGGTCAGCTCTCAAGCTGGGCCTCAGTTCCAACTTGGCACGTCCAGACAAGCTGGTGTCACCTTCCAGGCATGAGCTAATTACTCGCTGGGCTCATCTGGAACAACCCTCTTCGGAGCCAAAAGCCCGAAATAGTCCTATGAGGCTTTTGATCAGATGGGAAGCATTTGTGCATGACAGGAATCCCCGCTGCAAAGAGTTATGGCTGGGAAAGAACAAGGTGCACACAGGACCCGCTGCCCCTGCCAGGAGGCTTCAGCAACAATGTGCAAGGAGCCCATGTAGTGGGTTTGCTCATGACATGCCAGGTTGGTGATACACTAACTTCTGGAAGCACCCACTTGGTTTATCAGTAAGGAAGAGCTCAGCCTCACTTGATTACAAGCCACAGCTGTCCTCAGAGACTTGGAATGTAGTACTCCCGTACCCAGAGAAGGCTACAGCTGTAAAGATGAGACCTGCGCCAGTGCCAGCCAGCACCCATCTTCCTTATCACTATCTGGCTTATGCCATCAGCACAGTTTCCTATGACGCTTTGAATGGCCCTGTTTTACCCCGTTTTACGGGTCTGCATAGGTATGTTTGTCTCCCCAACATGAATCCCCAACTGGAATAGGTAGCACTGTGTTCAGGATGGTTTTCCCTTCCCACCAAGCCTGTCAAGGTGTTATGTGAACAGCAGGCATTTCCAAGAATATTTGCTTAGTCCAAACTTCACTTTTACTTCCAGTTTAGAAAACCCAGGAGGATGCTTATAAAGCATGGGATCTGCTGTAAAACTTACTTCTGAGGTCTCCTCAAGAAAATGGGTGCTTGGGGGCTGGGGATTTAGCTCAGCGCATAAGCACCTGCCTTGCAAGCAGGCGGTCATGAGTTCGATCCCCAGTACTGATAAAAAGTTAAAAAAAAAATGAAAAAAAAAAAACACTGATCATAAGAAAATGGGGTGCTTTAGTCCTTGCTATAACCTTGCCTATACCAACCATAGAAAGAAAATTACTACAGGACCAAAACCTTTGCCACTTTCTCTATTTCTCTGACTATCAATCTTGCAGAAGCAAGCTCTACTGCTGAGAGCCGAGCAGACGCTGCAAGAGAGGAGACGAGAGGTCTCTGACCACATGTTTATTTCCAAAAGCAAGATAACCTCTGCCCTAGGGAACTGTTAAGGCGGCTACTCACCCAGCTGGGAAAAGTTGAATCTTGTTCCAGACGGAGAAGTCACACTGGAGCCAGAGGAAAAGGGGGAATTGGCAGCGGTGTCCTGGAGGCCTCCAGCAGAGTGGGACCTCAACCATTCTTTCGCATCTTCCTGCGTGCGCAGCTGGGAGGTGGGGGTGTACCTGGATACACAGAGACCAGGCTGCCGTGAACTACGGCAGACACATAGAAAAGCCAGCTCCGCACAGCAAGTGACAAGGGCATAAAAAGAAAATCTACACCTAAAGATGATCGCTACACACCCTGAAACTCAAAGAGTTCCTCAAACTTATTTTTTTTTTCTCCTTGGCTGCATTTGGAGGGGAAAAGTCCTAATTGCTCTCAGTTTGGAAGGAAAACCTAGAGGGAGGAAGATGGGTAAATCTCAAAAGAGTCGCCGCCGGGTGTAGCTGTAACGTGTTGCTTCAAGACAGTGTCACTCACGTCAAAGCCGCCACCCTGACAGTGGGAGTGCAACAGAGAGCTGCTGTTAGAGCCCTGAGGAAGTTTTAATGAGGTCACGCTCAGCCTCTGCATTCTACAGCATGAGTGAGTAGCCCTGAGTCAGAGCACAGCGGAGCACAGACTCCGGAGGACGCTGGTGCTCGCAGTGGTGGCTAGGATTGCACACAAACAGGTCTTCAGGAAAGGAGCCCTGAATCGCTGGGCTTTTTGTGAGGAGACTTTGGAAGCCAAGGGGCCCATGCTAGGACATCATCATATACTAGGACACACAGTTGGTCCCAGGTGTTTGGTGGGCACTGTCTCACTGAAGCTCACCCACTAGACTTACTCAGCAAACGCAGGTACAGTTACTCCCATTTGGCATTCTGGGAAAGGCACACCCAGTTCTGCACCCAAAGCCAAGGTTGCAGGCTGTGTTTATCTGATTCTGAAATCGATCCTCTTTTTCAGAGCCAGCAGCTGGAATTTGTGAGGTGCCTGAGTGGTCAGAGGACCCCTTTGACTTTGTACTGTGGATACCAGAGGGATTCCTCTGGCTTAAAAATGGTCTTGTCAGTGTGTTGTTTGGGATATGGAGGTGTGGCGGAAGTGAGCTAGAAAGGCTTATGTTCCTTCGATTCTTCACCAGCCCTGACGGACATACAACTTTTTTGGGCATATCCACTGCCTGAAAATCCCTTGTACGTCACAGATCCCTATTCTGAACCTCTTAAAAACAAAGCTATATAAAGCTTTGCTAGAGAATATATATATATATATATATATATATATATATATATATATATATATGTATGTATCATTCCAAAATATTAATACTTAGAACCTATCTTCCTTTTGGGGTATCAATGTCAAATCTGTATTATTTCAAACCTGGCATAGTTGCAGACAAGCTGCCCTTGTGGGGACAATGTAAAAACTCTTCATTTTTGGTTGTTGTCTTTTTGAAACAGGGTCTTACTACATAGCCCAGGCTGCCTAAAGCTCGTGATTCTCCTGCCTCAGCCTCCAGAGTGCTGGGATTGTGCATCACCATGCCTGGCAATGAAGCAAACTCTTAGGTAAAAGGGCCTGGCCAACTAGAAGGCCACAGTGTTGAATCCCTCTCAGGAGATCCCAGCTGGCAACTTTTACATTTCCATCTTAGGTTTTCAGAGTTGACTTTACTCAGAGCTCCTGCCACAAGGAACATTGATACCTACCTCAAGTTACTGTTCAGAACGCTCTCGGTCTTAAGAGCTGCAGGTTATTAACACAGACACACAGACAGCAACAAGACATTTCATTCCAAGTCCCACTTTACATGGTAGCACTTAATGCTCAGTGCAGGGTGATGCCAATGCTACAGCGGACGAGGTGTTTAGAAAGCAGGAGAAATGACAGTGTCGACCACAGCACAGGAAGACCATGGGGAGCATTAGCAAACTGAGGGTCCTCTGGGTGGCGATGTGATGTGATGTGGGTGGGGTGTATGGTGGTGACTTAGAGCATTCTGTTTCACCAGGATGAGCACAAAACCAAGCTGAGTCACGACTTCCTGTGAAGGGGAGGAAGCTGACCCCTACAGTCAATGAGAAGAATATTTAGACAAGGTATCCGAAATGTCAGATTATATTTAAATTGGGGGAGAGACCCCGTCCTTCTTCGCTTTCCTTCTGGTTAATGGGTAAGCATGCTGCAAGTCACCCCTGTGTGTTGGAAGCCAGCCACATGAACAGAGTGATCAAGGATGAGAGCCCAGCAGCGGCCAGGACCACTCTGCGCTCACCTGGGGATGTTTTTCATGAGATGGTTTTATCACATCAAGCCTGAAAAAAGCGCAGCCCGATCAAGCAAAAAAGCCACAAATGGAGAGAGATAAGAGAAGGTGAGCCATCACCCAGAAGTTCTCCTGCAGTGGCCAAAGCAGGGACCCCAATCCAGCCCAAATCCCCACCAGCCATGAGAGCCACACAGCCAATCTCCAAGGCCACAGCAGATGGCGTGGGTGCAAGGCAGAGACAGATACCTGACTCCTTTCTTAGGCAAAGTGTTCCTATCAAGGTGCGAGTCACTGTAGGAAAGTTAAAACAAAAAACCAGAACTTCAGGGAAGCACCAGAGAAGCAGGGAGTGGAAGGGGAAAGGGCTGGGGACCTCCCTAGAAAGAGACTCCCGTCACCGTCACCAGGGACCACTCTCTTACCTAGCTGTACATGTAACACATCCACAGCCAGGGTCACAAAAGGAGCCCAAGCCTTGCCCTGAGCTGACATGAGTGCATACTTCGCTGAATCACCAGGTGGCCAAGTCATTCAACCCCAAATATTCTTCCTTTTCCATAGGCTCAAAGCCAAACAGGCTGCCCAGCTCTGCACCAGCTATAGGGCTCCTAACAGAGAGGATGCCAGCCTCCCTACACCCCTAACTTCAGCCCACCCCCCACTGGCAACAGCTTCAAAGGAGAAAAGGGACTCACTGGAGGATTTCAAGAGGCCCGCAGTCTGCATACTTGGAATTCATCTGTAACAAGTGAATTCCAGGTCCCTCTCTATTTCTCCTTGTTCCTGCCCGGCAAAGATGTAGCTAGGAGCCGAGCTTCGGGCTGCCATCAGGCATGTTTCCACTTGTTGGCTGATAGAGTCAAGGCATCCGGATTTGCAAAGAACCAGAGTTTCAAGGCTCAGTTTGTTAGTCTGACACAGTATTTGGTGTAGACTGGGTTAAGAAGATTTCCACTAATTTTTTTTTCTGGAATGAAACATCTGCTTATTATGTTGGGCCAACCTATGGCTGCCCTCACAAATTTAAAGGTCAGTATCTATCTCTGAGGCCCACCCACGGCTGGGGGCAAACACAAATTTGTCGGTTTGTAAAATCGCTACACTCCATATATTGCATTTCACATGGTCATCACAGGCTATGGGTACATAGAACACAGCAGTCTGCAAGACGGGACAAGCCAAACTGCAAGAAAGAGGCTTGAAAGAGAGAAAAACCAGCTGTGTGGGGAGGGGAGATGGGGAAAAGGAGCAGGCTACATGGTGGGTGGTAGACGGTTCTGGGCTGGGGTGGGAGTAAAGGACAGGAAACTAGGAGGCAGGAACATGCCACAGGAGGCCACAGGAGATGCAAGTGAGAGATTCTGTCAGCCCAGCCAGAGTGAAAAATGGAGATTGGGTGGCCTTCCCAAGCTGGATAAAGAGGCCAGCCCAACCCTACCTCTTCCTGGGCTTTCTCGAACAGCAGAACAGATCCCCACTGGCATGTCTGGGAGGGGGGATCACAGAATACACTAAAGCCACAGACACAAGCGGAAGCCTCAGGCCAACAGCCTTGCACAAAACATCTGGCTTGACGACAGACAGGCAGCGGAACCTAGAGGCTGGGAGGGCCCCTGGTCTACAGTGTCATTACCTGTCCTGCTTCCTGGGCAGAGTACTTCTGCAGAACTTAGGGCTAGCAGCAGGGGAAGAGAGAGGGCTAGAAGTCCAGACAGGTAGAAAACAAGAGAAGGAATATTAGATGGAAGAAAGGAGAGGCAGTGGTGTTTACAATCATCCCAGCACCCTGCCTTTCTCCTCTATGTGCATAGACTTCTACAGGCATCCAGGGCTCTGAGGATGCTTTCTGGCTCTTCACACATTTGCTCGGGAGGGGACAGAAGGAGCCGATGGAGAAACAGAACACAACGGAAGGATTTCAAAGGCTGAAAGCCATTTCAGGTGGTAGCACAGATCTGTCCCCAAGGGACTTTCAGCAGCATCAAGCACCAAGAATAAACATCAGGCAATAATAAACAGGAAGCAGAGCCGCGCTAAATTCCACCCCTCGCTGGCTTTCCCAAGAAAGAGGAAAGAGCAAAACTCCCTCACAGGTCGGGGCTCGTGAGCATCTGGGGTTCTGAGCCTCATCTCTGAACTCGCTCTGGGAAAGGCATCATCCAGGGGCCCAGCACCAACCTTTCCGACAGTGTGGTCTTCACACTGTTGGTTCGCACAAAGGGCGTCAGGGAGTCATCCTTGGAGGAGGTGAGGAGGCCGGTGGAGGAATTGTGGCTCAGCCCGCCTCCACTCCCCAGGGAGATGTCAATGGACTCGCAGCTGGTGTGCAGGCTGCTGACCGACTGGAAGCCCAGCCCGTCCTTGCTGACCGCCGAGGAGCTGCTGGCTGTGGTGCCCCAGGTAAGGCTGTTGGAGGGGCCCGAGTGAGCTGAGCTGGGGCTGGAGGCTAGAGGAGACTGGTTGAGGTCCACGTTTTTACTGTAGAGAGGGCTGCTGCTCCCACTGCTCAGGATGCCACTGCCTGATGGGGATTCTAAGTTACCTTGCTGGGTCATGGTGGCATGAGGATTAGAGATGACCACTGAATTTTTCATGTTTTCAGCAGTGGCGATGGGCACTTGCTTGGTAGGCTTCCCACCAAAGAGTCTGTGAAGATACAAAGAGTTATGTGGGATGAACGCCTGGGGCCTAGGGCTGCCTGGCTGTTAGAGGGAGTGGGCCATGGTCTTCCCTGCTGACGGTGTTGGGGTGGGGGGAACGATGGCCAGAAAGTGAGCCTGCACCCAGGTGCCATCTTCAAGCTCTAGACTGCCACCGAGACCCTGGCTCTCTCTGACATGTTGGGTGATGGAGACTTCATTTTCTACAGACCTCTACACACCAGTCCAAGGTCTTGCTTCCATTTCTTTCTAGAAATCAACTACCTAAGAAAGGCCCTAGCCCAGGAAACATCTAAAGAGCTGTGTAAGTGATCTTCTGCCATGACACCAGACAGACACAAAGCAGACACTCAGTTCAAGGCAGCTTAATTCCAATTAAGATTTGGTTTCTTTGATCTCTAAACACAACTCAAGGAAAGGGTAACATGAACCTGGATTTGAATGGAGCCCAAGAGAGGCATCACCATCCCCAGAGGCTGGAGACAGGCCAACCCGGTGGATGTATTTTCAGAGCCTCAGAGCTTGAATGAGCCAATGGCACACACGGAAAGCTTGCTGACTTCACAAGACATTAGACCAGACACTCTGAGTGCAAACCATGCCTGTGTGACAGACACACAGAAATGCCACACCTCCCCTCTCCTTATGACCAAAAAGTGCCCCTGGGACAGGGAGTGGTACAAAGCCCTCCTCCGACCTTCCCTGGCCAGGATGCTCCTTGGGGACCGATGAAATGATCTTAAAGTTGGGAGAGTGTACCGTGTTCTAGTAATTCAAGGACACTATTTCACCCAGCAGCAGTAAAGAGTGACATAAGTGCCTCCAAAAGTAACAAAACTGTTATTATGATAGGCATATTCCTTTTCACCCTGATCCTCAAGACGATGCAAGTTTCTCTCTACTGTCTCCAAATAGTCCTAAAAATCTGATTTTTTTTTTTGTCTTTTTCCTTTTTACCGGTACCGGGGATCGAACTCACGACTGCCTGCTTACAAGGCAGGCGCTTATGCCGCTGAGCTAAATCCCCAGCCCCCAGATATAGTTTTTCCATAAGCCTTTTTTTTAAACTAAAATTTCAGGGACTAATTTGGAAATACATATGCAGTATAAAAAGCATGTGGGGAGGTTCAGAAAAAGATCTGGCTAAGATCACAGCCCCTCATAATGACCTGTGGTTAGCCATGGACTTAGCAAGAGGAGCAGGAAAAATGACCTGCTTCCTTTGCGCTGTTTTTCCTGGTCTGAGAGTATACCAAGACCTCATCTTGCATGGTAACTCAGTTTTATTAAGTGTTTCCAGGTCAGGCATGGTTGTAAAGGCTAACTTTTATAAGGACCCTTGGAAAAATATTACCACGCCCATCTTATAGATAAGAAACTGAGGCAGAATTAAGAAAGGTGACATGGCAGCTAATGAAGATGGGCTTAGGATTTGAACTCAGGATGATTCACTCCAGAGACCTTTGTTTTTTATCCCAACATGGAAAAATAACCCATCAACTACCAGACTGCTGGCAGGAGCTAACAAAGCAGCATTACCCAAGGAATGATACAGAGGAAAACCAGAGGTTGATTTCACTAAGAAGCAGGAATCCTTCCTTCAGGAAGTCCTTCCACATCCTCCAGCTCCACTCTGTACCATTTATTCACCCACTCACCTGCGGAGTGTGGGGGAGGCCACATCTGGGTACTTGGCCCCAGGCTGGAGGGTGGCTTGGGCCGAGCTCAGCACAGGTTGGGCAGCTGGGTTCACTTTCACTGAGTTACAGGAAGCTACGCTCTCATTGTCCGACGAGATGCCTTTCTCCTTATCTGTCTGGTTGACCAGGCCTGGCAGCGAGCTGCCCAGGGCTGTTTTCGAAGGCTCCCTCAGCTTGGGTATGGGCAGGCCTGCGGACTTGCTGCTGATGTTGGAATCAATGCTGCTGGTGCTAGACCTGTTCCCAGCACCATTCCGGCTGTTGGATTTACTGGGCCTTGGCAAACTCCGGTACTGCAAGTTTGTCCGGGAGCTGAGAGACAGATACCCATCGTCCTGATTCTGGGTTCCATCCATGCTCGTCTTCCGCCCACCAGACCGACCAACGAGCGCCGACGACTTTGGGATCTTGCCCAGAGTGGCTGATCTGCTGGTGACAGTAGCTCCACTGGCTGTGATCATGGCCAGCCCAGCCACTGAGCCACTTTGCTTCTTGAACCCAAAGCTGTTGGCAATGGCGGTGGGCGTCCTGGAGCTGGTGGGGAGGGGCTTTTTGGACTCGTCACCACTGCTGCGGCCTGCGTCAGATGGGGACCGCTTCACTTGGGAGGCTTTGGGTGAAAGCCTTCCCTTCTCTGACACTTTTGCATCATCTGTTTTTCCTGAGCAAGAAATCAGCCAGGTTATTTACAAATCAAGAAACCAGCCCCTCCTGCTCCACTAAGATGCTCCCCTTTCCCTGATGAACAGCTTTTTCCAGGGGGTTAGGGGGAGGCAGTGCCCTGGGGAGGCTGGGAAAAGCTCTTTATAAAGATAATCTAGTCTGCTGCTGTCACAGTGAGCCTTTTAGGAGGTATCAATGATTTTCCTCATTTGTAAAGCAATCTGAATCTAAATGCACCTAGGATAAAGCAATGCCAGGTGATTTTTCCTGATATACCTGGGGGTAAAAACAACGCTGCCTTTTACTGACCTTGTCCATTGCAAGGCTGTCCCTAACATTTCCAGGGAGTCATGCTGCCCTTATTTACTCTCAGCTCCTAAATCACAGCATGGCAACATGCCACCAAACAGCCTGCACTGGGTGTGGGCACTGTCACCCACTGCATGGTTAACCAGCATGTGCAGTTATATGTCACAGGGTTATGTGCTTCCGCTCAGAAAAAGGGAGGAGGTGAACCCTTAGACAAGCAGAGTACAAACCCAAAGAAAATAAATCAACAACTGGTAAGGTCAAGCCCTTGCCAGTTTGACTATGTTTTTTGTTTTCCACTCACCAGTTCCTGGTGTCTTCAGCGCACTGGCTGGGGCCGATGGCTTCGTCCGAGGCACGGTGATGCCCACCTGTGCTGTCATGCCCCGCCGCCACGAGCCTGTCTGTGAGATGACAGGATTCTTCTTGCCTGATGTGCTCTTGTCCGACTCATCCGACACGTCTGAGGGATTCCGCCTCCACTTGGCCCCCGGCTCCATCTTTATGCCGCTGTCGGACCCCCCGTCAGATTTCTTGATATCATCGCCGGACCACAGGGAATTCCTCTCCACTTGCGAGTGTTTCTCAGCATCCGTCTGTGGACAAAAGTCCCTGGGTCAGTCCTCGCCAAATCCCAAGCTGGGGAGCCCTGACTCCAAAGGCAAAAATGCCAGCATACAACACGAATGAAGGGGGAAATAGGAGGTAAGTACTTTCCAAAAGTTTGGACGCTTGAACCCTGACTACCTTGTTAGAAAGTATGATTGTAAAGAATATAAATGGATCCTTAGAAAAGAGAGTGAGGGAGGAGAATTAAAGAACCGGGAAAAAATGAGGGAAGGAGCCCCAGGGAGGAGAACCGGAAAAACAGATAAAATGTGGTGGGAATTCAGCCACCAACTCTCCTCCAGCCTGGCAGCTGGCTCTCTAAACCAGCACAGCTCTCTAGCCGGCATCCGGTTCCCTAACCAGCATCCAGCGCTGGCGTTTTCCTTTGTTCTGCCGCCTTCCCATCTCTCCGCTGGCAGTGAGGATCTTTGGATCCAGCACAGCGCCTCAGCCTTATACACCAAGTGAGTGAGCGAGAGCAGCTGCTGACTCTACTGAATCAGGGGAGCCCGTGGGAGCCCGGCTTCGGGGGAAGAAACCCTCAAATGCCACATTGTTGGCTCCCACCTAGTCTCATTTGTATGCCACTGCTTTGTTCCCTGCCGGGGAGCTGTGCAGACAGGGGAGATCATTAATCGGCTTCCTTTGGGAGACTCCTGACCTGCCCGCCAAGGAGCCCAGGAGGGGACAGCAATGAGGTGCACTGCACCAAAAGGCACAGAGGACTGGACCTGAATGCTTTGGACGCTCCCTAGAGGCAGAGCTAGTAGGAGGAAGCCAGGAAGAGAAGGAGCTCGGTGCAGGGGAAACGAGGGCCACACTCACTACTGGGAGTGGGCAGTGCCAGGAAGGAGGGACATGACAAGAACCACTTGGTCAGGACCTGGCTCATTCAATGCACATCGGGCAATGGTGTGCAAATGCTTCCCTCCCTAGACACCATGGCCGAAGAGAACAACAGTGACAGACAGAGAAGTCAGACAGACAAGTCAGACAGACAAGCAGTCCAAGCTGAGTCACCTTTCACTCTCTGCCAATCCCTGCAGCCACTACAAATTTTGAATCTCTGTCCTAAGCACCTGATGAATCCTTTGTGTGCTCAGTCATTCCCCAAACACATACTGACTGCTGGTGAAGGCACCAGTGATAGCACACGAGCAGCAAAACACTCCCTATGAGAAACCCTGCCACTCAGCAGTGGCAAGCAACCCACACCGGGAGATCCCACACGGGCACGGGGCAGGAGCCAACCGGACCTCGTGAGGAAATGAATGAACAAGGATGCATGCACTTAAGGATGACACACTGGCTGAATCCTAGGCACCCTCTGCAGGAAGGTAAGAGCGAGGTCTTCATTTCCACTTCCAGATAAGCAGAAGCTAAAGTGACCCACTCCACCCCAACTTCTCAGCCCAGTGGCTCCTGTAAATGCCCCGGGTCATTCACCCCATCAGAGCCCATGCTGAGCCTGCTGCTTTCTAGGCATCATGCAGGGTCCGATAGCACTGATTCCCAGCCCTTAGGTAGAATCAAACTGATAAATACAAATATGCAATTCTGGATTCCACTAAGGAAAAGGGCAAAGGGTTTGGATGAGCAGTACAAACATGGACTTGGACCTAAAGTAGATCGTGATGAGGGGGACGGGATGGGGAGCAGGGGTCAGCTGAGAACTTTTGGAAGAAGTGACCTAAAGAAGAAACTTGCTAAGTGAAGTCCAGGAAAGCAGGCCAGGGAACAGGAATTGTATGTGCAAAGGTCCCAGGGCAGGAAAAGCTTGGCTTTGGAAGCATTTACTTAGTAAGGACTTCTTGGATACCAGTGTGTACTGGGTAAGCAGATTTGCACAGGGAATGCTACAGTAAACAAATTCAAACCTTCAGCTTCATGAGGTTTACATTTAAGTACATTCTAACATATTTTAATGTGCTCTGAAATGTACTATACATGTACCACACTCCATATCCTGGGTTACCATGTTACTGTTTGCTTGAATGTTCTTAGATCTAGTTCCCCAATGAAAAAACAATTAAAACTCATTGAGTCCTTACTATGTACCAAGCACTGAACTGAAGTGATTTGTATGTACCTTCACGTTTCATCAGTGTCAGAAACCATGAGGGAGTGAGAGTTCATCTTCTCACTTTTATACAAGAAGATTGAGACACAGAGAAGAAAATAAAATAGTTCAAAGTCCCAGTTAGAAGTCTGAAGTGAAACAAATCAGACAAACATGTAAATATCACATTGTCTCTGTGTTGTGAGAAACTAAAAATCTAAATAAAAAATAGGGCCAGGGATATAGCTCAGCAGCACAAGTGCCTGCCTGACAAGCACGAGGCTGTGAGTTTGATCCCTGGTACATTATGTACTGCAAATGTACTAACGAAAACAAAAATTGGAAAAACAAAAACAAAAACAATGAAAAGCAAGCAGTCAAGCAAACAAGCAGCAGCTGAGGCTGAAGACAAAGATGAAGAAGAACTAAAGATGTAGGTAGGTATCCAGGTTACTAATGGCCAAGCCCACACTTTAACGCTCAGGCCGCCTGGAGTTCACCGGTTTTCTATGACCCAGACGGAAGAATTCCCACACACCCTGTGACACGCTGTACTATCCCTACGCTGTGTGCTCCCGTTCTATCCTAGCAGGCTGGCTACACTCCGAGCCCCAGAGAAGCTTCAGAGGAGCCCCTGGCCCAAGATCATGGCTTCTGTATGTCTGTCTTTCTGTCTGTGAAGAATCATCCAGCCATGGCTCCCCCTACCTGGGTCTAGGGTGGTAGCCTTCCAAGCTCTTCTTTGAACCGTTGGGAGCCTGCCCTGGATGATCTATCAGCCTGGAGTTCACGCCTCCCCTGCAGATCCTTCCTAAGCAATGTGCCAAACCGCTGCATGGAGTGAACAATGGTAGCATCTTAGCCTCTCTGTCCCCAGAGTGCCCAAGAGGAGGGTCAGCAGCCATCCACATGGGCCTGCAGGCAGATGGGGGCCTCTCCCCAGCTCCTCCTTCCCTTCTTCTCTGACTGCTACTAGGGATCAAACCCCAAAGCCTGCACACTAGGCCTCACTCCAGAATTTTTCTTTCTTTTCTCAGACAGGGTCTCACTAAATCCCTGGGTTGCCCACGCTAGGCTCAGGTTTATGGTTTTCCTTCCTGCCTCTTCCAGAGTGCTGGATTACAGATCAGCTTCTGAAGGATTTTCTCAACTGCCCCACTGGGCAATCTTCTTAGCCATCAACAGCCTGGTGGGAAGGTGGGGAAATGAGCCAGCAGAGACTTCCATGTGAGGCCAGGCTTCTGAGATCGAGGTGGCAGACAGGGTGAGGCCAGAGGAAAGGCAGGCCTGGCCTGACCTGGGAGGAAGGGCACAGACTTTGGAATTGAAGTGCTGGACGCTGCCACCAGTTTGCTGTGTGACCTGGTGGAAGTTGCTTCCCATCTCAGAGACAGCTGCCTTTCATATGAGATGGGGTTAATAATGAATAGGCCTCCTGGGGAGGGGACAGGGAACTCAAGCTCAATGTGGAAAGCCCCCAGAACAGTGTCTCTTTTTAAGCAACCCTCCCATCTCTGAAAACCCCTGGCATTCGTGCCCATCGTGAACATAGATACCCAATTTTGTCTTTTGCGAGGCTACTTATCTCCCTGTGAAAGCCACAGGTCAGAGGTCAGGGACACTCCCTGCTTGGTCCTGGACCCTTACAAGTGGAGAAGATGACACAGCTGAAGTCCAAGTCCCACTAACAACAGAAATCACTGGCACCAGCATCGTCCCTGGTCTCCTGTCACACCACGTACCATGTCCCTCAATACACACTCTTAGCTCATTCGTTCTCCAAGGCCGTATTATTCTCCGTGTGGTACAGACCACATAAACCCAGGTTGACAGAGGGAAAATAACTTCCCAAAGTCAGCACAGCAATTCCCAGCAAGTGAGGTCCCCTTGCTCCAGCTAAGTCCGTCCCAGAGCCAGGGTACTGCCAAGGACTCCAGAACTGCCCATGGGAAAGGAAGGCCTTTCCCATGTGTATCCGAGGCCTTCCATGATACTGAGTGAAAACTCTGAACGGCTGCGGGGGGAACGCACAGATGACCACAGTTAGTCCTCTGCCACCAGCACGCAGCCCCAAACACCCTGCTGCACACCACGAGATGAACTGAAACTGCAAGCAAACTTCATGAAGAACACAGTAAATGTTAGGATACCAACCTGAGTGGAAGAGGAGAGGGCAGGAAACCCAAAGGAAGGGAAGGAGGGAAGGAGGCAGGGAAAGAGGGAAGGAAAGAAAAGGAAGGGGTAGATGGAGAGAGGACGCAAGGAGTTTCTGAGCACCTCAAGTCTCAGGCGCTGGGAGAGGCACATTCAGATACAGCTTCTCCATGACCCCCACACGATCTCCTAGATTGGTGTCATCCCACTACTTTATGGAGGTACTGATTAGCTTGTTTGAGGACATTGCTCTTGACTCAGTGTCTGTAGGGACACTGTGGTCTGGCTGCTCCCTGGACTCGCCAGCTGTCCTGGCGGAGGTCTGTGCACAGCTGGGGCAGAGGCAGCTGGCCATGTGCACTCTGGGACCTCCTCAGTGGTCCTCAACATCCCAAACAAAGGGACCCTCTGATCCCGTTAGCCGCCTCCTGCTCCTTCGATCCCTACCTGCCTTGCCAGGCAGTAAAGTCCCAGTTCCCCGGATGTGAAGTGGCCTGGCCTCGGCTTGCTTCCCCTAACCTGGTAGCCCCAGTTCTGGCAGCCTAGAGGGAGCCAGCCAGTGACAGAATTGAATGAGCCAAGTAGAGAGGTTGCCCTGGTGGGACACACTGCACCTCCTCCTGCCCTGGATTTGACCAAGGGGCTAGTCCCTCAGAAGGGGAGGAAGCTGTGAATCACACTGATTCAAAAATTTTGAGATTTGGGAACAAAGGAACACCACTACAAATCCACTTAGCGACTGAGGCCAGTGGCGAATAGAGAGCTCTGTAACTACTGGTGGCTTTCTGTTATCTAAAACCTGCTTTTTCAGTTTTTATCTTACTTTTTTGCTTGTTTGTTTTGAGAAAAGATCCCGTTATCCAGTCCATGCTGGCCTTGAACTCATAACAAGCCTCCTGTCTCCATCTCGAGACCGCTGGGATTGTAGGCAAGTGCCATCACATTCTGTTAATATTTTTATTTATTTATTTTTTTACTTTAATATTTTAAACTCAGATAGACTGACAAGAAGGAACTACCCAAGGAAGAGTAAATCTCTTCCATCTTCTCGTATCTTGTCTAAAGCTTTTTGTCTAGCATTCTTGAACTTCTGATGGGACATTTGTGAACTGAATAGGCCAGCAAGGAGGTGGGGTGGCCCTTGGCATTATCCACAATCAACTGTGTGGTGACAGGTAAGGCTCTCTAAGCACCAGATGTTTATTCTGAGTCAAGGTGGAACTTTGAGCTCTGTGGGAGAGCAGTGAGGACAGGGACAGTGTCCCAAGCTGGGCTTCACAGGAGCAACTAGACAACTTCAGAGCTTCCAGATCTTGGCTATGCTGCACCTGAATGGTGATAGGAAGTCCCCGGGTCCCCAGCTGTGTCTCTAAGGGCAGCCTGGGTGCTTGCTATGCTTGTCACCTCCACTGTAGGGTGAGTCTCAGGAGAAAAACAAAACAGCCAGCATCCACAAGAAAAGGAAACTTGGGAGACAGAACTTGTCTCTGATCACTGGAGTGGCTGCTCCCAGGCAGTGTGGCTTAGAGTTTGGTTTTGTTAAATACACTTGATTAATGACATGGAATTTTCTTATAATGAACTGAATAACGTTAAGGGGAGCCTGAATAAACTGTACAAAATTAATATATATTGCAACCTTATCTCTTCATTTGGGTTTTTTTTTTAAAATATATACAACCGCCACAACCTGTCTTCACTCCTCAAAAATAGTTACAAATTCTGAAGTGAAAACCTAAGAAGGGCTGGCGATTTAGCTGAGTGGCTCAAGCGCTTGCCTGGTAAGTAGGAGTTTGATCCCTGATACCAACAAAACAAAACATAAAGTGAAAACAGCAAATCCCGAAGGCAGCACCCAAGGGGCCCCTGCTGCTGGCAAACATCAGGGCAGAAAAAGTTTGTCCCCCAATCACCCTGAGTGTTGACACACCCTCTCTATAGCTCCGATCTCTCAGGAGAGGTTGTGAGAGCCAAGATGTCACAGCACTGGAAGAGGGGTGTGTGAGAGGGAGGCACCGTGTCTGTCCTGCCCTCTCTGGGTACTTGGTGGAAACGTGGTCCCATCAGGTATCCTCAGGGGTTCAGCCGCCCCTACAGAGGATCCCACCAGTGGCAGAACCCAGTGATATCAAAAAGTTTGTCTACACCAGCACTACCACGCTGACCAGCCCTCGCACTGGTCAACCCAATGTGGGGATAAGCTGGCCGAGGACATGTTCCCCAAACTCTCAGGGCAGCACTCACTTTTCCAACAGGGAAACCTGAGCGGGTGAGCACAGGTGCTCCCATGAAATGTGCTGTGTTTCAAACCTGACATCTGAGAGTCTGGGGGAGTTGAAAGATACCCCTTCCCCGGGCTCAGGCGGGTATTTTGAAGTCGTGCAGCTGGTTGGCACATCTAGGGTGCGCTGGGGAGAGCAGCCTGTCTGAAGGGAAGGACACAGGCACATCTGTTGACAGTTGCCACATGGAGCAAAAGCTGTACTTTTGATTTTTAAAGAGAAACCAGAAACTCATTTTCCTATGAAATAATGCACTTTTGGAATCGTACTTACAAGGAGAATAATACTGCAGGTTAAACAGAACATGCTGGTAGGGGCCAAAGATGGATACACTGACTGTCCCCAGCCTCAGACCTGGACGTGCTGACATCCTGGTCCAGGTTCCCAATCTTTGTTCCCACCCACCTCTCCCAAGAAATGGGACATATATGTCCAAGGCTCAGCAGAGGCTCTCGGAATGAAGGTGGGGCCACACTCCAGGCTAGGATCTGCAACAGAGCCCAACACCCTTTGGTTTGTTTCTACTTATTTATTTTTTGGTGGCAGTTTGGTTTGTTTGTTTTAGACAGTCTCGCTATGTCATTCATTATTAGGACAGACTTCAACTCACTGTGTAACCTCGGCTGGCCTCAGACTCGGAAATTCTCCTGCCTCAGCCTCCTGAGGCTGGGGCCTCCACGCTTTAGCCTGACTTCTGCTCTCCCCAGATGGCCCCATGCCCCCGTGCTCCATACCTGCACGTCCAAGTTCTTGCGGGAAGAGGCAGGTGTGTTGGCGTAGGAGCTGATGGAAGAGCTGGTGTTGATGTCATCCGTGCTGAGGTTGTCGATGGTATCACTGATGCCACTGCTGACGGAGCTGCTGTCGTCCCAGCTGCCAAGACAAACACATCCTGAGCATACACCCTCACTGCCTTCTGAGAGAGACAGCCCTGCCTGCAGACTAACGTCTTGAGAAGCTGTTTGGCCCGGGAGGAGATGGCTTAAAATTCTAAATTTATGACAGTAAAATGTACTTGCATGTGGTGCTTCCAGAGCAGAGTTCACCTTGATACTGCTGCCCCTGCTCCTCTGGGACTTCACAAGCCAGCTGCTCCTTTCTGGCCCAGGGCAGAGTGGAGCAGGAAGTTCAGGGACAGAGCTGCAGGCATGCAGGGGACACTGGACAGCATAGCATGCCTGCCTGGATGGCCGTGGGAAAGAGTGGCTGCCACATCCGTGGTTAGCTCCATGCAGAATGATACCCTGGATACGCTACATCTCCCACCCCTCAGCTTTGCTGGGATCACCCCCAGCTCCTCAGAGAGATCTAGCAACAAGCCTCCGTTCTTTCCTCTTTACTCCCCACCCATATCACCATGGCCTTCAAGCCAATGCTTGGCCCTATTATCCTGCTTGCAAAATACACCTGAATATGGTCACCCTGCAGTTCAAGGCACTGTCAGCTCAGTCTGGGTCACTGCAGAAAGGCCAGCAGGTCTCTGTGCTCCTTCTAATGATACATTTTCCCATGATGGCCAGAATGATTTAGGTGCTTATTGTCTAAAGTCCCACACTATCCTCAGAGCCTTATGATGAGATCTCTGTCTCCAGTCCTATCCTGCAGATCCCTTTCTGTGGCATGCTGGCCCATGACATGGGCTCTAACCCAGTTAAGCCAAGACCCTCTGGCCATCCTGCAGGCTTTGCACAGCCATCTCTATTTCCTGACACTTGTCTCTCTGTCCTTATCCTTCAGGTCTCCTCAGAGTCACCTCTGGGCCAGCTCCTTAGGCTTGCCACCTCACTCTTGTACTATCTCATTTGTCTGAGGAAAAGCAAGGATGCAAGGGTAAGAACAATACAGGTGTAAGGTTTAAATCTTTAAGTTTATTACAGTGAAAGACACAGCAATCTTGCTTATCCTACTGTTCTTGCTACTTCCTAGGCCACCTCTGGAACTTGTCTTCTCTGAGTTTTACATTTTTGTGACCAAAAATGTGATGAATGCTGCTGCTGCTCGCCACCTGATGGGAAGGCGGGCTGGCAAAGCTGTCTCTGCCTCCATCTTACTCACCAGGTCTGGCATCACATGGCTGCTGGCTCTTCCCCAAAGTCAAAAAGCCCACGAAAAGCGCATTTCAAATTGACTTGGAACATGTAGTCACCAAAGAGGCCTTCAGAACCCCTCCAGAAGGAATAAGAAGGAGGGGACAAATGTGCAGGGGTGCTCTCATGAGGATTCATGGCAAACAGCTTCCTTTATATATGTCTTCAGTCCTATCACTGTATCTGCAAGGTAGGTATGATCCTACCCATTTTATAAAGAAAGAAAGCAAGGCTGAAAAAGTGAGTATCTCAACCAATATCACCAAGTCAATGTTGAAATTTATAAGGCATAATTGTCACTGGGCAAGGCAATGCACATTTGTAATTCGAGCTGCTTGGAAAGCTGAGGTAGAAAGATTGCAAGTTCAGGATGAGCCTGGGCAATTCAATGCCTGTCTCAAAATAAAATTTTAGGCCCTGGGGATGTAGCTCAGGGGCACAACCTCACACCTGCCAAGTACAAGGCCCAAGGTTCTATTCCTGGTATTGAAATAAAAATTTTAAAAGCTGGGTGGTAGAGTGTTTGATTAAATGGACAATACCCTCAGCACCTCCACTGTCCAAAAAAAATAAAATAAAAAGGGCAAGCTGTCTGATTTTAAAACACATGGTCTTGTAGTCTGCATCTCTCTGCCTTTCACAATGAGGATGCTGATTTCTGCATTTGCACCTACTCTCAGCAGCTCTCAGACCGCCCTCGGATGGCTTAGTGTTCATTTAAGATGAGGAACTGGGGCTGTGAGAAGTCAGGACAACCCTGTTCTGGTGCCCAGTCATTTTGTGGGCTGTATTCCCCCCACCCCATCCCCCAGAGACACAGCATGGACTCCTCAGATGCTCCCTAACTGCTCTCACAGGTGCAGGACAGCAAGGGCACATTTACGGTGCAGAGCCACCACCGGAGGTGCATGCTGAGCCTGCTCCCTCCCCACTGAGCTCTTTGACAGGCCACGACTCCTGTGCCTCAGTTTCACCAGGCCAAGCAACCATTTGACGCTTTATTGGGAAAAGCTCCCAACACAGATGGGAAAGGTCTCAAATTTCCTCCTGGAATGATGCAAAAAAATCCCTTGAATCTTTTATTACATCTGCTCTTTTGGGTTAGGAATTTAGTGGCTCTAAAGTTGCTTATAAGCCTATGAAGAAGAAAGAGGGCCGCCAAGAGAGGAGTGTGGCTGGTGGGAGGTAGAAGTTAGTAACAGATGCCCATAAACCCAAGTCCCGGATTTTGTGCTTTGAAATTGTACCTGTTTTCCTTGTGGCCTTTCAGCACCACGGTATTGTTCCAGAGGGGCCCAAGGCCTGTGGTACCTCTAGACCCCCCTGAATCAGTGTCTAGGGCACTGGGAGTTTCACCCCAAGGTATTGGAAACCCCTATGACTGAGCCAGAAGAGGGGAAATCAGTGGTGTAATCCACAGAAAGAGGAAGAGACCCCCACACTGAGAGGGGCGTGCAGGGACACAAGAAGCCCATGTTAGGCAAGAGAGCCTCCATCCTCCCAGAGCTGCCGAGAGCCAGCTGCTTCTATACCAGCAGAGCCACCGAGGTATCCTTCCCCTCACTACCTCCGGGACACTAGCAGGTCTGTCTGCACATAAAGATCACTTCATTCCTATCTGTTTTACGCCCCAAATCTGGGGCAATGAGTCCAAGATATATTCTAAGGAAGCCAACTCCTCAGAGTGCCCTGTGACAATGATGTTTCCAAGCAAGAAAACAGGAATGTTGCTACATCTGTGCTTTCAGAGATTCATGGACATCATTGCTGCGATGACACCCAGGAATGAGCTCTGTGATTCCACCTCAGACAGTGCTGCCCAGTTCTGCAGGCCCACAAGGAGGGGCTGAGCGTGGAAAATTCAAAACCCACGGGAAACCTGGAGCTGCCCAGGGCTGTTTCATTCTACTGGCCAGGGCAGGAGGCTTGCACGGAGGACAGAGGGGTGGGGTAGGAGGGGTCCAAATGGAACCCAGGCTGGAGTCTTGCCACAGCCAGAGGCACGCGGAGCAAGCTCCTTCCATTCTTTGGCTCGAGCTTTGTCATTTGGGATGCTCATGCCTGCGAAGGGAAGCTACCACTTGTTTATAACACGATTCCGGCAGTGGGGGTGAGCGTCAGACAGGACTCATGAGGAAAGCACACACGGTAGGAAGCACACAGAGCTGTACAGACCCAGCAGTCAAGGAGCTAGAACAACTGGGATGAGGTTCGGAGTCCACAGACCCCCATCGAGGATCAATGCTGAAAGAGGTGACAGGTGAGTAAGGTTACAAGTGGAAGGAAGTTCAGAGGCCATGTGTGCACTGAGTGACACTGAGAAAGAGTGGGCGTGCCCCACTCAGGCTCCGGAGCTTCAGCCTGGTCTGTGGGGACCACGCCAAGGGCGTTACTTTACATCCTACAGGAGACCCAAGCCCACCCATAATCTTTGTCTTGAAGTACAGGATTTTAAAGATGAATGATGATAAACTCAATCAAAATATGAATATTTAAGTTTAAAAATATGACTTGGGATCACATTTACGAGTGAGAGGAATACATGGTCTATTTGAAGACACTTGGTGGTGCATGCCTAGAATCCCAGAACTGTGGGAGGCCTAGACAGGAAGATCTCAAGTTTGGGGCAACTTAGTGAGACCCTGTCTGACACACAAAAAAAGCAAACCTGACTTTTTTTTTGGTCTTTTTCCTTTTTATCGGTATTAGGGATCAAACTCAAGAGCGCACACTTGTAAGGCAGGGCTTATGCCGCTGAGCTAAAAGCGTCTGGTGATATCCCAGAGCCTGCCCTGGCCCACAATGCTCTCTGATCTGCTGTCCAAGCAGTGGGAAGGCACAGGCCAGGAGGCCAGGAAGCCAGGTAGAGGCAACCTTTTCTGGGCTGCAGGCCCATCCATCCTCCCACGTCCCGGCTCTTCTCTGTACAGGAAGGAGCTAAAGGCTCCTTTCAGAGGGACACTGTGTGACTTTATGCACAGGTAAAAGCTGGAACAAAGGCTCCCATGGTCCCCAGGGAAGTCTTCCATATGGGCCCAACTCACAACTCTTGTTTCCTAATCTCCACGCTTGTCAACTGCTGATTACAATCCACAGAATATCTTCAAAAGTCCAAAAGGAATCTTTTTTTTTTTTTTTTTTTTTTTGAGACAGGGTCTCACTATGCAGTTCAGGCTGGTCTTAAGCTCACTTTGTAGCCCAGGTTGACCTCGAACTTGCAAGGATCTTCCTGCCTCAACCTCCCGAGTGCTGGCTTGCACCACCATGCTTGGCTCGGTTATTTTTAAATTTGTGAAACAGATGTTGAAATTTTATACCTATGACACAGCTGGCCAGCCACTAGGAATCAGTAACTGCCACGTGAGATACAGATGTGCTCTTCCATTTGACACAATCCCCACATTCGCCCTCCTGCTCACATACGCTACCTGTGTGACCCTGCAGCTAAGCCTGCAAATGCCTGATATGGAACCAGGACAAGCCACTCCCAATAGGGAAAGGGTATCAGACCATGCTACCTATCCACAAAGAAACAGATGTGCTCTTGCCTGGCATTGACTGTCACCAGGAACAATTCGCCAGGCATGCTGGGAACTGTACTTGGCACTTTACATGCATTATTCCACCCCCACTTCTTTCTGGATGAACAGATGCTTAGGACCTAAAACTTACTAGAAAGATGAGACTCAAAGTTGGGGTACAGTGACTCTGTGCAGCCCTCATCAGAAATACAGTACATATGGTGGCTTACAGATATAGTATAGACAGAGATCAGCTTCAAAATCG